TTTTTTCGTTTAAATCGTGAAATCAAATGACCTCATATCAAGTTCAATTCGTGTTAAACAAAACTCCGGTTCATGAGATTACCTACATAATTTGACTTGCAAATAAAAACGAGATAACATCCTATATCATGAAACAACATTTTAATTGATATATAAGGATATTCGATGAAAAATCAAATAACTTGAAAACATGTCTCAAGGTGAAGTAAGGACTTTGAGAACAAAATATCCCAAAAGGAGAAAGCCTCCAATTTGAAGCAATGTATTGAAATTGTAAGCAACTTCTATGTGTTGTAGATAAATTGCAACAAATGCTAGTGATGGATGATCGGAAAAGATGTGAAAATGTTGGACGTTACATTTTTTCGAATTCGTAGTCTTCTCTTCTCCGTTCGAAGGAATAAATTTGTAATATTTTCGGACATGGTTTAATCTCTATTCCATCTATAGTAGTAAATGATAATTTAGTTTGGAGAAAAATTATGTATTGTGTTGTCAACATGACCGTGAATCTTCATTGATCTATTTCACAAAAATTGTCATAGCTGACATATTTTTACAAGCATGGCTTTGGTTCCGGCAATCTGATGCATCTATCAAAGTTTACCAGCCTGCATTTTCTATAACGCTCTAAAAACATTGCTTGAGCGCAAGCTGTTCTATTTACTTTACATGAAGACGTTTAAACAAAAACCTTTCTCTTAGAAATATCAATACTTGTTGATCCTGCCATTGTAACCATTACTAGAAATATAACTAAAAGGAAATTTTTAATCCAGATGTACCTACTCAAAACCCCCCTAACTCTTGCTTTATTACCATATTTTACTTCTATTACCATAGATTCCTCTATTCTTTACCTAAACACACATCTCACAACGTGTCTCATTCGCTTTAGATAACAAATTTATCTAAAGAGAAATAAATCTTTTATTTACATTCGACCAAAAAAACGTCAATGACCCGCAATGCCTCAACGAAACTTAGCCTCTTCCTGACTTGACCTAACCACAGTGGGGGGGAATCACACAAACCGAACCTGTTCCTGACTTGACCTAACTCCCAGTTGGGAGAATCCCACTAACCAAAGCTGTTCCTGACTTGACCTAACCTCGGTGGGCCAAAGCTATCACTAACAGAACCCGTTCCTGGCTTGACCTAACCCCGAGGGGGAATCACACTAACCGGACCTGTTCCTGACTAGACCTAACCTCAGTGGGCCTCAGCAATCAGCTATCATCAACAGAACCTGCGCTTGACTAGATCTGACCCCAGTGGGGAATCACACTAACCGAACCTGTTCCTGACTTGTCCTAACGCCAGTGGGATTAAGCAATCAGCTATCACTAACAGAACCTGTTCCTGGCTAGACCCAACCCCAATGGGGAATCACACTAACTAAACCTATTCTTAACTTGACCTAACCCCAGTGGCACTTGATAATCAGCAATAGCAATTGATTCCTAACCAATAACAACCTAACCTAAAGTAGAAAAAATCATAATTTGCTTGAACAATGAATTCATGGTGGAGTTCAAATTTTCCACCCTGAGCCTACTGGGTTGCGTGTTAGCATACGTTTTTCAAAAAGTGAATTTATAGTAAGGTTAAAAATTTCCACCCTGGACTCATTTATTCCGTATTAGTATTACCATATATATCACTCTTTACTTTACCTACACATCTCACAGTGTGTATCATTCACTTCATATGACCAGTTTGTTTAAAGCCAAATACAATTTTATTTTCACCCGAACAGAAAACGTCAATGACCCAGCACGCGTCGAGGAATCCTAGCGTCAAATTTTGTGCTTCATTCATACAATATTTCATTACCATACATTTTTTTCTTTCTTTATCTACAATTCTAACAATATACAATTCGCTTCAGATAAGCAATCTATCTAAAACAAAATAAAGTTGTATTCGCAATCGAAAAGAAAACCTCAATGACCCATCGCGGCAGCACGCATCATGCCATCCATTGCATGGCGCAAGTAATGCGCGGCATAAGCAGCACATACCAAAATAAATCTGAGGCAGTAGTTTTGAACTGCTAAATTTACCAAGCCGGATTACCTGTATAAACCTCCATTTGTAGAATCTAAATTAGAATTGAAATTTTGAATATTCTTTCGATAATAATCTAACGACTGTCCGCACTTATGCGACGATTTGGCTTCTCTGCAACACATCATCTCCGTTGATAATTATATTTGATATTTTCAAGTGAGAATGTAATTCACTCCTGATCAAAATGATTTTGATTTCATAGCTGACACCATTCGTCTTCCTGATATATTGGATATTTAAATGTTTAAATTTAAGAAAATCGACTCGGAATACAATATACATCTTGTCGATTACATGAAACATTCGACAGGATTTTAGAACGAACAGCAAGTAAAAAATTGTGTTTTCAAGCTATTCAATGTGCTGAGTCTATTTTTAATCCTTATAATAATACTTATTTTTCTACCAAATGAATGTTCCAAAAATGTACTGGCTGAAAATAGATAGATGACTGAATAGGTACTAAAGTTCAATTTGCATTTAACTACATGAAAGATTGATTCAAACGATTAAAATTACGCTTGCTGTTGATATATCAACAGCATATTAGAAATATTTTTGTGAAAGGCGAGGCTTTTACATATCTAGCGACTTGCGAAAAAATCGATGGATGTCAGTGCAGCTGGTAGGTACTTAGTTCTCTCCCAAATTTCCCGCTTCAACCACTTCATCGTTTGACTCCATCACCTTTTCTTCGTAGGTTGAGCTCGAAATACTGACGTGAATATGGTTGCTTCTGCAGAGGTTTCTTCATTGCGGCTTCTGGAAATCGTAGCAGTTGAGGTGCCCGCACGTTGAGCGCCCACAGGACTTGGGGATTCGTCATCCGACCCAGCGTTTGCAGTCATGTATGTGGCCAATGGCCATACGTACTAGTCTCACCGACTTGTTGGGGATAGCCACAGGGTTTCTTACTGCTGTCTCGGGAATCATGACAAGTTGAAGCGATGCTGGAAAATTCGATTACGTTAAAATAAATATTTTGAAAGTACGAAATCCTCAGCATTTTACTTACTGCATGATTGCTGACTAATTTCATTGTATCAAGGTTTTGGAAGAACATATACATCGAGATAGAGAGAGTTCAAGATTTATTTGTCTCCATGAGGAGAACGGACAAAAAGTCGGAGCATACCACTCAGCCGGCGCACGGCCCCTCCTAGACTCCACAAGGAAGTACTAGGAACGGTCATCAGGCTCGCAGAGACGGATCTCTAGCGAGCAGTTTCCCGCTCAGGACCGTGCGATGAACTCGTCATCGTGGCTTTCCGCGTGAAGCGAAGCTCTAGTTTAGTGACAACATACTATAGAAATGATCCTTTGGAGTATGGTCATACATTCACCAGACATGTGTGCACACCGACGCAAGGAACCTGAACACACGCGCAAAACCAGGCCATTTCCTGTATGAGAGACTCATCTAGAAATGAATTTCTTTCGCATCAACACAACTTTTTCTCAGACAATAATTCAGAAGTCCCACAAAAACTCAAATACTCTTAAGATATGTTTCAAGTAAAATTATAAAGTAAAATACGCGTAAGATATAAATTGCACCATTCTTTGCTTTTTCGACCAACAAACGGAAACGAATGGAAAATATGAATTTGTTTTCCAACACGGCTGTTAGTTTCCAACATCCAAATATCTTACAGCCGAAAAGATACCGAAATTCACGTGTCTAAAATTTAGTAAAAGATGTAAATTTAGACGTTCCAAATTGGGTTCAACGTTTGGCTATCAAAACTGCTTCGATATAGAGCTTGTCTCATGATGCAGAAAGTATCGTCTTCAGAATAGATGAGTTTAAATTTCAGAAATTCATTATTACCACTTTTGAAGGTGAGGGGGCTGATTAACTGGTTCAGTAAATCTTGATATGTGCGTTTTATCTTGGCTATCTCAAACGATCAAGTACTTGTAAATTATTCGAAGTATGGGAACGTGTCTTAAAAACAGAAAAATCACGTTACAAGTACATCACCAATTCGAAGAAAAGAACAGGGCGCAATGGAGACGGGATTATTTAACAGAATAATATTCTCATCTTCTTTATAGATTGCCCCGAACGGAGCACAAAATATCAAAGTCTATAAGTAGACAAAGATATGATACGATACCAGTAAAACGTGGTAAAGGGAAAGCGAAAATTCACCTTAGGCAGGTGCTTCTGGACACCCTGTCTAGAAATCGCCTATTCTTAAATAAAAATTTTGACTTTACTATTTATATTTTGCCACCTAAGGTGGAAAAAGCTCACTTTAACCCAAGCTGTGGGACTCGCAATACGTACGATATTTTTCTTTTAAGTGCGATAACTGGGTTGATTTTAAATATTATTAACCCAAAATACGCTAAATGATATTTTGAATGGATAGCTAAATCAAATCAGACCATCACCTGCAAAAGTGGTAGAGCAGTCTCACAGTTGAAAATACTTTTATATGTTTCATTCAAAAGCTTGCGAATATGTGACACAGTGGCAAGACAAACGAAAAACCATGTCAAAGGCGTTAAGTGCAAAACAAATGCACATGAACGCTTAAATTATTAGTTCACTATTGAGTAGCTAGAATTTCGTCAGTAGTTTCTAAAGCAAGGCTTCTTCTCAAAGAATTACGTCATGCATTCTTCAAAAGCCGAATAAATATAGGTTTATAGATATACTGTTAAGAATTAACCACCAAGGTAGATAAATGCAGGTGCAGTGGGTAAATTTTAATCACCTTAGAATTTAACAGCACCGAATGGGTGATACTGTTCCGTCTTGGAAAGGTTAGAATGTCAGTCTTTCTAGCACCGATCTTATTTTTCGGGGGTTCAAGCAATTCAATGACTATAGGACTGTAGCTCATAGATTCTATTCATTTATGCTCTCGTTTTAACTTAAATCCGGCGACGCGTTTTGCTCATCACTAAGCATCTTCAGGGATAAAAGTCGAGCAGACAAGGTCCTGAGCTGATAAAAGTAGCGCAGTTTTGATCACTACATTTCAACATAAACGTATTAATAACCGCTCCTGTCGTTCGGGATTGCGGAAACTTTCTATTCTCCATGACATTTTATTGATCGTTTATTCGCCACATAGGTGTTTAGAACTTCAGAAGTTCAGCGTCGTGCGTCGTGAGTTTATCCAGGAATTGAGCTGGTGTTGCTGCTATAGCGAGTTGCGACGTCAAAGGGTAAAACTGATTTAAATTTTAAGTGTAAAAAACATATGGTTTACATGAGAGTAGTGAAAGCTTGATGGCCTAATTATTTATTCACTGATGATAATAATGTAGCCTACCTATGCTGCATGGCGCATGCAATGCAGCAATTGAAACTAGCCATAGCCTCAGGCTAGTTCAACTAGGCAGTATATTAAAAAAAACTAAGTGATAAAGAATCAGGAAATGTTGGTGATTTAACATGTTTACCCTAATAACAGCTTGACTCTAAAGCGGTAGTGTGGTTACTGTGGTACTGGTACGGTTACAGTGGTACCTAGATGTGTACACTGTACCTGTGTACCACAAGTTCCACGACCACCGTACACGTACACGGTGACCATAGTGGCAAAGCAGAGAGTTTTTTAGACTCTCCCTCAAGTTCATTTTTGAGTCCTATAAGTAGACAAGTAAAGCATAGTGGCAAAGCAGAGAGTTTTTTAGACTCTCCCTCAAGTTCATTTTTGAGTCCTATAAGTTGACCAGTAAAGTATCATGGATACCTCATACCAGCATTATCTTACATAAGAAATTGGTTTAAGTCTTGAGTAAATGAGGAAATTAAAAATGAATTGATTCTAAAAAAATCTCTGGTTTGTCACTAATAACTCACTATGACGGTGACATTATCACATAGTTCATGATAGTTGTACCTACCATAACGGCATAACTACCATGGTCCATTAGACATCCACTATGCAGAGGGTGGATGCAGCGTCGGCAATATATGGATTTTTAAGCCCAAAGCGTCGCTGGCCATTTTAAAGATGCGTCGCCGGGTAATTTTTAATGAAAAGCCATTTACGCTGAGACTTGAGTAATGATGAACTATTTACAAGTCACGAACTTATTACAAGGTTGCATGCACGTGTTACCCCAAATAACTAATTTTACCCTAAAAACAGTCCGGTTGTACAGCAAGTGTCAACTGAACAAGTAATAAAGCAGTCTGACCCATAGTGACAAACCAGAGATTTTTTAGAATCAGTTCATTTTTAATTTCCTCATTTACCCAAGATTTAAACCAATTTCTTATGTATGATGATGATGGTATCCAGGATACTTTACTTGTCTACTTATAGGACTCAAAAATGAACTTGAGGGAGAGTCTAAAAAACTCTCTGCTTTGCCACTATGGTCTGACCGCTCTAATGCGACCGAAACTACGCAATTGAAAAAATGTTGTTTACATTTTTTGCGGGAACTCATCGCAACTGATTTCCGGACAAGCTTCGCTGCATCGTAATCCATCCAACGTACCGGAAACCTTACTTTTTTTTTAAATAGTTGGCTGAAGACTGAGAAATATATTAAATGCAAGAATTTCAATCTAAATGTGTCGGCAAGATCTTCTGAAGGCGAAAATTTTGTTGATAATGCGTCGCCGTAGGTCTTCAAATCTTTGTTCACTCTCTGCACAGTGGTTAGACATTACTGACCTACTGAGTACCTATGTTACTAATGTTAGGTTAGATGAGGACCGTGAGGCTAGGTACCATAGTGGCAAATGTGACACATATACCTAAATTAAATATAGAAACACTTATTTCAATACTTCATCTAACAGAGATACGGTACAAGTGGTCAAGTGATGAATTTAGTGTTAATTATATATTTTAGTGGTGGTTCTTGTAGATGGAATAGCCTATGGTTAAATATATATGTTAATGATGTAATATAAATTAATTTTTTAACTTTGAATTAAGTTTTTGTATTTTGTAGGGTAAAGGCGGTATATTCCGTCACATTAAGGACGCATCGAGAAATGAAAAACTATAAAAAATTACCGTATGCGTTACTCAAGTTCTGTTTGCTTTATGTGACTCTCAAAACACCGCACTAGCGGCACTAGGCATCAGCAATGACGAAACGTTACAAAATGTTGCCATATTTATTTAAAAGCCTTTAGAATGCAAACCTACCAAATCCCTATATTACGTCGCTGTGTGTGGCTATATTCGGCACATGGTGAGGCGTATTCTGTCCTCGCTTCAAATTCTACTGATAGCTACGTAATGCCGTCATCCACGTGTTTGAATTCCGTTTGCTGTGTGAGCTGTATTGGAATACAACACGGCTTTGAATTAGAACACTAATGAATATTGAATGTCAACTGTCAAATTTGACACATTTTTCGATGATCTCACTGGGTAGCGTGCATTGTCTCTCTTTGGATCTCAATATTTTCCCGCTAGATGGCCAAGACCTAGTGTTTTGGCAGTAGTTTGACGCGCAAATGTATGACGTCACCATTTCAACTATCAACGAATGCATGGAACTAAAACAAAGCTTAATATAAAGGAAAAACTGGAGAGGTGACGGAATTACCCACGATGTTGGAATATACCGCGTTTACCCTAGTTACAAAAGTGAAAAGTGCAGAAATTTGCCACCCTATGCTTAGAAAGTTAGGCAAATGAGCAATGAGAGGGAAAGTGTTATGTGTGTGCAAGCAAGGAATGGTGAGGAAGGATGCTCAAAAAATTACCAAATGAAATAGATGCTATGGCAATTGCCTTAACTCTGAATTGGTCACACATACAGGTGGAGGGAAAAGAAAGAAGTTGTGGGATCACTGGGATGAAGGTGTGACAGGAACTGTGCAACACCAGATGATGGCAAGCAATCCATCTGAAGAAGTTGGCTGGACATGATAGTTGATTATGGATGAAAGGCATTAGATCATTAGATGGTATACAATAACTCAGTTATAACTGAACAATTGTAATACAGTAATTATTGTTATCTAAATTGTTTGTCAGCAGGATGAAGTGCAGCTAGAACTGGGAGTAACAATTGGTATTGGTAGACTGGTAGAGAGTTAAATGGGTGAGAGAGAAGAGAAGGCTGCCACCTGCCAGAAACTTCTGCAGAAAGAAAATGAGGAGTGTGTTGGAAAGACTATAAAAATGATTTGAAACCTCAGAACATAAATTCTGCTCAATTTTCATTGTTAAGGAAACTTGTTACAATTGTTAACTTGTCTCTTGGCAGAGGCCAGAGGGATTGTGTTTTTGCACATGTAAAGACATAAAGGCATAGTTATGAAAATTTGATTGTATATTCAGGCATATGTGCCAAATTAAATACCTACTTGTGATTCTAATTTACATAACACAATATAGCAATGTTGGCGCTGAAGTGTAGGCCTGATGTGGCCCGTCGCTGATTCTTACTTTTTGTGACTTGTTCACATAAGATCTAAAATTGTGTCATATGACCGGATCTTCTCAGGACTGATGATAGTTTGAAATATCTACTAGACTTCAACCTGGCTCCATATGGTGCTAGGCATTTCAAATCTTAACATATATTTTTCCATAAACTATTGATATGATTATTTTTTAATTCATTCAAACAGCATGAATTGTCATCCAAGAATTTTGATTTGATTCATTTTATTTTTTTTACACTGCTAATTATGCCATTTTATGACATGACATAAACTAATTTCATGTGATTTCTTTGAATCACGTAATATTTTAATTATTTAAAGGCTAGAGAAAAAAATTACTTTTAATCAATTTAATTCATTAACATATGTATATATTAACTTATCTAATTACACATTGTATAAAAACTACAAATGCATTCTAAATTTACTAATCCTACCAGTTGAGAATAGTTTTATCATATATTTGCATACTATGTCGTATCTACTCATTATTTCATTTTTTTCTCAATCTCAAAACTGTCTCCTTCTTTCAGTATCGACAATATTTGGCACTCAGACAACATGAACGACTCCTTGAATGAAGCACTACTCAGCTGTGGTGTGAACACTACTTCACCTTGCACCAACATCTTTGTTAGCGACACTCCTGATACTTGTGGTCAGTTCCTGACGTCTGAGTTGCTCTGCCAGAATCTCTTGGCCGGAAGACGAGTTATGTATGTCACTCTCCACAATACGTTTGCTCTGAATTGCAACATTGCTGCTAAACGTAGCATACAGCTCATGAACTTTTATAAAAATGGTTACATTAAAGTTATTGAAGGTCAGAAGTTAATGACAGAGGCTGCTGCCAAAGCCTTAGAAGGTCAAGACGTCTCCAAGCATCCATTCAATTTCATGTTCAACAGTAGTGATGGCTCTCTGAAGAACCTGTTCTTGGCCATTAAATACTGTGTGAATGATTGGCGATCATCAAATGAAAGTATGGTTATCTTGATTGACAACCTTAGCACCCTGCTTTCCCTTGGCGTTTCCACAACTGAAATTCGTATATTCATTCAGTACTGTTATTCTTTGTTGTATCCCCTGAACTCTGATCTTAAAACGCGCTTAGGCAACCTTATTTTCGTCTCTTTAGATGACCCAGCAGATAAAGAATTTCACTTAATTGCAAATTATCTATCGCAGTGCAGCGATGTAACTCTGTCAGCTAGACCTTTGAGCACAGGAAGGACTAACGAAGTAGATGGCAGTCTCCACGTTTGTTCTTCGCCACAGAACAAAAGGCAACAAGAGCCGTTCAAGAAAATGTACCTATATAAAGTTATGGAGAGAACGACAAAGCTATTTGCCCCAGGGATGACCGCCTCTGTTCTTTAATTATAGTCTGACTTAGTCGTTCTTGTTCAGTGTTATTTTATATCTATAAAAATTTGTTGCGCATTTCTTCTGTTGTGCTCCTGCACATCAGTTTTCATGGATATCTGTTTTCAACTCTACGGAAATGAATAAAAAAGTTGCAACCTGTTTGATCATTATGAAGCCTGAAGGGTAAATTAAACATTCGATATACTTCCAAATATAATGTATACAAAAGATGAAACACACAGCGCAATACCCTTATAAGACTCGATAATAAATCTGATTATTGGAATGGTATTTACTTCATTAGGTAACTCGTATAGAGGTAATTTACCCCGCTAACGTAACGTAAAACTCCTAAAAAACCGACATCACTGTCTTTATATGATCTAATGCATAACCAAATGCTTCATTTGGTCTAAACCTCTAATGCATAACGAACTGTTCTTATCCTGAGAACAATTTACTTGTTGCAACTAACTTGCTACCATGATGTCTTGCAACAAAGCAATAATGAGTTTCATTGTTTGCAACCGCGCCACATGAAACTTCGATTGAATCACAGGCATCGAAGTCACGCAATATATAGACGAATTAATACTCTTATGAATGAATGAAGCTCCAGGCACAGATACACGTGTACGATATACATTTAAATAGTTTCCATGAAAAATTTCCGGATGTAAGAATTGTTACTTGCAAGCTACTGATTAACAAAAGAGATGTTCGCATGTTGTGAGCGATATGCTTTGAAAGGCCAATGAATTAACATGATAGTAATAGCAAAGTAGAATTGACTGTCAGTACGATTAACCATGATATAATGAAAAAATCACAACCCCACACTGTAAGATCCGCTATAAGAATATACTCGATATATATAAATGAATGTACAAAATACTTGCGGTATAATCAATGTCTTGTATGAGCATGGAAGATACTTACATCACAAACAGTAGCAAGATCGAATAAAAGAAATGATAATCGATACGCTATATCACTTAGATACATTGTATGTCTAGGTACATACATGTTATATCAGGCTGCAAAAAAAAATTTGACTGCAATTTTGAAATAATAGAGAAATTAAAAATGGATATGTTGCTCAAGTGTGAGAATGCTTCACAGCTAATAAAGAACATTTTACCAAGCTTGGGGAAAAACATGAATTTACATATCATAAGATTGCTAACATTTAGATAATTTCGATGTTTAACCCGCCCGCAGTTACACCGCTCCTCCGAGCCTTGACAACACAGCACAAAGGCATTCATATACAATTCAGCGCGATCCTGCCATTGAAGCAATTCATACGTACGCATGCCATGCCATGCCACTCTCAATACAGAAAAAAATATCTTACGTGCAGATCTTATAGAGATAAGCTGAAGCCTTTATATCATCAAAATGACTTTATATCCATTGTACTGACGTGCAATAAAAGAATACAGGTAATAATTCGGTGCAAATGAAGCTAATATTAAAAGCATAAGGAAATAAAACTCGACACTTGGAAACCTGTTAGGTAATCTGTCATAATTCGGTCATGGATTCTTTCCCGAAAAAGACTAAGCAACTTGCAAGATTTTCAGTGAAAACGTTGCAAAGTTAGCTAAGGCAACAATGAAATGCAAGCTGCTCAGCCTTATGTCTCAACGAGTAGCCCATGAAAAAGTATAATGAATTTGTGATGTATATTCTTAAGTTGATGGAAATTCGAGTCAAATGGGGACAACTATACCTATATACTGTTTGTGAAAATCTTGTAATTAATTAATTCCGAGTTAACGTCAACATTTTCACGCTGAATTTTGTTTCTCTGAAGAATAATTCATAATTCAAAACGGGAATTCACTTAGATGCGACTGGTCGACGAAGCATGGGATTGATTTGTAAGTGCTTAGCTCACTAAAAACTCTTTTAATACAAAACAAATATATATCATAAGAACTTATCCCTAAGCGTATAAAGAACAAAAACATGAGCATTGCAATACACCAAACAAAGCAATTACTTTGATGAATATGGATTTGCAACGACTTGGGACAAATTTTTTTTTTTGAGCAAGCAACCCATATAAAAAGCTAGGAACTATAGGCCAGGGCTCACCAGCCACCGATGAGCGATAACAACACCCATCAGCAGTTAGCGTTAATAATGAACGAAGTTAATGCTTTATTTTACCAATATAAACTCCTTTTGAAAGATGCTTGAAGTGCCAGTTGAATAACTACAACAATTCAAGGCAAACATTCCAATCAACAATTGTAAAATCTACGCGCTTTCGAAATAAAACTTAATCTAGGAATATGTGAACATAAGAGATCGCATTCCTCCTGATGAATCATTGGGGAGAGAATAAGAACTCAATATCGTTCCAAAAACATAAAAAAATGAAATTTCTTCAACGAGTGATTTGTGGAAATATTGATAATACGAGATTCAGTAATCACGCTTTAGCGGTAGTGGACTCATGCTGACCATATCCGAGGGCACGAAGGTGCAAAATACGGCTTTCGGGCCAGATAATGTTCGTTTTGAGACCCTCCCACCCACATGAGCGGGACTCTTGGAGGCACAAGAGGGAAGGTGAAGGCATCGATGGAACTTGTTGCCTCACACAGAATCGCCCTCTCCTGATCGTTCCATCAATTCTTCAGAAACAAAACATTTCTCCAGACATCATTCCAATTACGAATGACGTCTGCAGTCACAATTTGAACAGCCCTGTCTCCATTCGTCAGACAAGGATTTCATACAAAATTCATTGGAGAAATAGGGCCAGTAATTTTACGAAAACAATGGAGATAAAAAACATGAAAATTTTATTTAGCTAGACAAGTAGCAATTTCCGAAACTATGGCCGAAGTGTTTAGGCTAGTCATCGGCTTCTAATGTGTGGGCAACATATGTACAGTAAAGAACAAATCTTCTTGAGCTTGAGAGCCAATCTTCCTGTTGTCGCGCATAATATAAATGACACATAATTGACAGATGTCTCCAACTGAGAGTAATTGCTGAAATTATTTCCCCAATAAAGGAATAAAATTATTGACTACAGCACTTACTGAATATAGATGACTAGCGCTTCGAAATCTACTTAAAATAACGCACATGGATCACAACTACGTCTACGAAGACAACTCATGAACGCAAAAATTAGGAGGGTAACGGTAAACCTGAAAAAACATCATTCATTTACATTTAGAATGATTCTGATGAACGCATGACATAAAACTAGATCAAGAGGGCCATAATAACTTGAATTGATCATGCGTTAGGACGCGCTCTGTATTTGAGTACAAATTAAGGAGCACCACGATGTCTGGCCCGCAAGAATTTGCCAGTCACACAGCAGCGGCGCGCAGTTCAGTGATAGATTCTAAAAAAAATCCGATATTTATATCATTTGAAGTGCATTACACCTTCCTTTGGCAAGGTTTTACAAGCAACGATTACAATTTCGTTATGAATTGTCGAAATTAATGATAATATTACGGTACACAAGTATGAAGCCTGTTCCTGACTAGACTAAGCAAGCTCCAGCACACGCAAATAACATGAATGAACAACTGCTTACAAGCACGCACCCTGGGCCTGACGACACCACACCGTCCTCCAACGAGTCCAGAACGACTATGGCGTCCAACCTCAACGAGAAAATCCGTAGCATGCTCAAAATATAAACTAATGTACGAAATAATATCACTAAGCTTCAACAATGAACCCCGCCTATGTGTACACCAACTATGAGCTCAAATTCAAATTCAACAGATAAAATTATCATCGAACAACGACTCTAATCTACTTATATTTTTTCGCAAATAAATTTTACTTTATAAAAATCACAGGTTTTTCTAAATTTCGGTGATGAGTTGGCATTCAAAATTTCAACTAACTTCTACCCGGTGCTGTAAATGGTCTCGGTATGTTCCATCAATTTGACGCTCAAATTTCAGTTCATCAGATTCACTGAACTAACAAAATCACCACTAACCTTTAAAAAACTTTTTATTACTCAGTTGTAGACAGCAGCTAAAAGTTTGTTTCATCAGGGTACACCACAAAGCAAAAGCAACAAACAGGAAATGCACGATGTCTCTTCCATATTAAGCTCTCCATTTCATTGCAAAGAGCGAAGTGATAACTCCCGTATCTTAAACACACGGCATCAAAGTAGTTGCAGATTGTAAAAAGAATTATCCCAGGCGCAGACGGCCGGCCACTGAGCAGCCTCCGAGAGAACTCCAGCAGGGCAGGTGAAGGAGGTGGGTTACAACGAGTCATCAAGAAGCATCATACCTCCACGCCTGCTCGATGTTCATAACACGAATAAGATACATGAACAAATATAAATATTAATAATGAAATAATGAATCAAGATCAAATAAAACCTTCATAGATGGTACTAGTATAATACTGCAAGGAAGAATAATGAATTTTGTTTTTGTAAGATAGATGAAAACAATCATGATATTAATTTGAATAGAAATTTAGGCGTAAGAAAGAATGTCAGAAATGAATAAATGACAGTCCAGAAGGGATTGAAGTTACCTACTCTTAGGGCATTCAAAATAGAAAAAATTCAGCACAACATGCTAATTAAGCGCAAATCGAACTGAGATTAAATTAGTAATGAACGGAAATTGGACTCGCATTAACATACAATGAACTCTCATCTGCATTCTCAGCAATATTCAAAGCTACAAAATTAGGGACAAGCTCAATCAAGAGAGGCATTGCATATATTGTACATTTCTGCAACAGATCAAATGAATAAGTTCATAATGAAAGACTTACCAGATGAGCAGACGCTTCGTTAGAGGAACAACATGCAAGGTCTGCGGGTCAGGGGAATAGGCCCAATAACATGCTTTTAGCATTCGATTGGAGGAAAGTGACAGAAAGTTACGATACAGGGTAAAAAACCATGCAAAATTTTATATGAAAAATTAATAAAAAAAACAGTGCATTTAAACCTAGAACGTTTCACAGAGAATAACAAGGAAAATCCGAGGTAAAAATGATTGCAGGGTCAGAGCAAGCACAATTAACACAGCAGTGAATCTCACTTGCCACGAAAGATGAGAAAATTACGTGCCAGTATGATAAACCTTAAAATTGTTGATAAACTTATAGGACCGTAGCGTATAATTTACTGAAGACATGACAGGATTAGAACGGTTATTAAAAACTTGAATTACTGTTCATTGAAGAGAGACTCAATGGCATCGACGATATTGTCCTGGCAAGGTGAATCATTACCTCGGATTTTATTGGGTTAAAAATGGGTTAGTATCGAGCGAAAACTTGATGCATGTCTAATGTGAGATGCAAGCATTGTAAACAAAAGTTAAGTATTTCTACAGAAATAACCAAAAAGACTCATATTTTAAATTATTCGAAATTGTAACACAAATTAAAATTGAGGAAACAGGAAAATTTGAATGTGAAAAGTTATCACAAGAAACACCGTGCCAAGTATGACAAAGTATTAGATACCTAACTACTAGATGGATTAAGATGTTAAACCTAAAGTTAGTACGATGCTAAATCTAAGGTTAGTTAGGACTGCTGGTAACAAATAACAATAAAACGTGCATGCGCAAATGATGAACATAATTTTATAGCATTGAAATCTAGAACTAAAAATTTCGCCGGATTCACACATATTTAGAATGATCGACACCAACCTGCATACTGCCAGCTTTTTGAAAGGTAACAGAGTTGAAACCGAGAGCGCGCTCACAGGAGACAACAAGATCATTATGAAAAACTGCTTATTCGTATATTCGTTCGAATGTGTCCCACTATTAAAGTCACTAATTTGATTAGCCAGTCATTACAAACTAAAAAGGTAATTATACATATAAAGCACTAAAAACGAGTTGCGATTCAGGTGCACGCCGTACTACTCAATTGTGCAAGATTTTAATTGAATTATAATGGACGATTATTATTATTATTATAATTGCTATTCGTATCTTTACAAATGTGTCTTACAACTCTTTATGCTGTACAATGAGGTCAGCAGCAGAATAAACTTTTCTAATGTTATATGAAGTTCAGAAAATATGTAAGGTAATTCAATGTACTAGTAAATCATTTCAAATGTGGCATTTCTTCGCTGCGTAGAACACAACACCGCTACCACGTACTCAAGTTCACAAGCAAAGAATTCTACTAAATACTGGAAATATATTGACTGGCGTAGCATAGCGTATCACAGACAGGTCTCACTAATATAAATATAGATACCAGAAATAGAAGTGATACGAGTAAGAAACCAATTGTGAACAACGAAGGTAAGAAATTTAGGATGGGTGTCAATGTGTATACATTTATGTATATAGACCTCATAGATAAGATGGACCACATGCACCCTTCGTTTTCGTTACCATGTGCTACAACAGTGAAGTTAACTGGTAATATGGCCTTGATTCACATTCTGGGCGAGATGGGATATCCAATAACGGGTTATTTTCATAGAGCAACAAGTAAATTTTCTATATTAAGCAACGAGCTTCATGCATAATTTCGTTCAGCTTTGATTGCAATACTCCGTGAAAACCCATGAAAAGGAGAGCTACCAAGAATTAGTTCCGTTTCTTAGGGATTCTTACTGTAACAACAGGAAAGTAATTGTCAAGGCTACTGTTGGCAGACTACAGCTAGCAGTTAGTGGAGTTACTATTTCAGCTGACGACAGCCAGTAAGTCATCGTCATCATCTTGGTGAGGCAGGGAAGAAGGAATGTTGTTGTACAAGCGCGAGTTTTGGTTAGAGGTTAGCAGGTTAGCGTTCTCGTTAGCAGCAGACCACCTGGATGAGTACCGAGGTGTTGCGGTGGACATCTTGGCTCTGTTGATGAGGCGGTGCAACAGACCCGATCTGACTGCATAGAAGATACCCCCAGCGAGAGCGAGAACAAAAACGCAGGTAATGAGCGCAGCAACGCCTGCTGACACTCCTCCGCTGCCAGCAGGGGAAACGGCACCAGCTCCCGCCGCGGTGCTGTTGCTGTCGATACTAGGAAGCGTTGTGATGAAGGGCAAAGCTGTGGTCCGGGGTAAGCTGGTTGTTGCTGGCTTTTTCGTTGTTGAAGTAGGTTCGGAATTCTCTGAAGTATTGGCATACATGGCCTCCAGACACGTGACGTTCGTCTTCCACGTAAAAGCAGCCATGCATTCGAGATCTTCCATGAGAGGATCGGCTTCTGGGTGGCCGAAGCCAGCTGACATGTCGCACTCAAAGAAAATCGTTGACGATCGTTTTCCCGACAACGAACTAGCACACGACTCGCCTCCATAGTAAACAAGCTTCAACTTGCCCAAGTCCCACTTGAATTGGAACAAGTCACTGAGACCGTAACTGATCTGTGTCGAGTCTGTACAAACTCCGGACTCGCCACAAACTGAGCCACATACGTTCACGAGGTATGACTCGCCGCGGAAAGGTACAATGTAGCCGCGGTCCTTGCGCAGAGAAGACAAGTCTAGGTTTGCTTTGCCAGGTTCGTGGCGGATCTGACATGACGAGTTGTCGGTGTCTTTCGGAGTTAGACTTGCGGGAGGGCAGACAAATATTGTGCGCCATTCAAACTTGTACTGGCAGTCGTCCGTCACGGTAACGAACTTTGGAGAACCCTGAAAAATAAACCATTCATCATTAAACAAGGAAAAATACACACTCATTATTCTCATTCAACATTGAGACATATATGCACATCAAGATCATTCTTGTGCCTGATAATTACTTCATCAAATTATTCTTGCTTCTATAATCATATTACTTAAAGAAATGTTATGTGAAGAAAGATTCTTTTTAACACTCCAACACCAAAGTACCCACATTTAATCCCCCATCACACCTGTTTAGGAACTTTTCATTCAGTAATAAATCTCGATTTATTATTTTAAAAATAAATTAAAATCTAATTTTTTTCTCTGAACCTTTGAACGAAACCTCATAATTTCAGATCTGGAGACAATACTGCAGACATTGGTAATATCTTGATAATATTAGTATTATTGATACGAGTTTGAATAACATTAAAAAAAGTGCAACAGTTGAAACACAAACTATTCCGAGAAAGAAAAACGATAAAATATGTGTGGACGACAAAGAATACTTATGGCATAGAACAACGTACCTCGTACTAAACGTCACATATTATTTATAGCAAACATTATGATCAAAGGTTTGGAGTGACAGAATTCCTTTTGGATTAGAAGGTTTCATCTAAATATCACCTAAGTTTACTGAAACTTGTCCTATCTTAAATTACTTTTAGTGCAAAAACTCACTTTTCCAGCACTGGGATCACACAATAAAATGATCTTGGTGCTGTACTTCAAGCCAGGCTTCTGCCGACACTGGGAGCCCAGAGAATACATGATGAGTACAGAACCATCGTGGTCGTATATGGGCGGAGTGAGAGGCTTGCCAAGGCTGTCTGAGCTAGAGGTGCCGTTGGCGTGGTAAGTCACGTGGCATGTAGAAGCACCCGCGATACAGGTGCTCTCGTGTACGTGGTTCAGGGGCCGACAGATATTGATGAAGAACTTCTCATCGTCCTTAACTGGAACCTCGTAGTTGGAGTCGTGTTGGATTAGAGGACGTAGGTCTATGGTTTCATCATAGCCATGAGCCAAACATGAGATCCGGTACTCGCAAGCAAGCTCAGTGTGCCAGTTAACATAGTAAGTGCAGCTCTCAGTGTCAACCGACACAAGCACGGGGCCTTCTGCTGTCTTCTCGGCGCCACAGAAGAAGCTTATGAGCGTCGTTGCATTGACCCCGTTGGAACAAGTATCACCGTTCGTGTAGCGCAAGGTTAAGGTACCTGGTATTACCATCAGCTCTGCATTTGCTTTGCCGCCACTGCGATAACCTTTTTCGCTCTTGTTCTTGACGCACGATCCACTGGATGCGTCAGGGCACCTGCTGTCAATAACAGGCCCACACACATTGAGAAGAAGACTTACATCACCTTTAGATACTTCGTAAACCTTGGCTATCTTTAAATGAGACAAATCATACTGATAATTCGTAAAAATGTCAGTAGCACTGCAATTTCCAAAACTTGATGGCTCAATTTTCTCTCTGCAAGCTTGTCTTGTTTTCCATTCAAAGATATACTTGCAATTTTCTTGAGTTGCAAGGCTTGGATAAGGATACAAATTTTCTTCATCACACTCAAAATAGATTTCAGTAGAGTACCTGTGGGTGGCATTGCATTTGTCTCCATTTTCATACTTGATCTTAAGACGACCATTTTCAACAAATGGCCCCTTCCCCACAACGCCCAGGTTGAGAGATTTGTTGTTATGAGATTCATCTATGAGACAGGCAGCTGCATCGTAAGCACATCTGGAGTCTTTGCTGTGCACAACCGACCGACACACGTTTAGCACGTACCTCACATCGTTCTTGGTATTGAGTTCTTCTTGGTTCATATTTGACAAAGACAGTGGGTTCAAGTCGTACAGGAAACCGTCACTTGTGGTCACACTACAGTCAATGACCGTGTGAGGAGGACAGGCATGCTTTGTTCTCCATACAAAATTTGAGTCACAAGGATCGGAATTCCTGAACACTGTGAGACCGGTTGATGAATCATTTATTTCATGGTCACAGAGGAATATAATCCGAGATGATCCAGTCTTACCATCTTGACACTGTGATCCATTTGAGAACTCCATGGTGAGTGTTCCATCGTTGAAGATAAGCTTGCCTGGAGACCTTCCACCACTTATTTTCGTCTTTGATGAAGCTTTGGAAATTACAATGGAAGCGTTTGCAAGAATTGAGCTACCATAATCCTCAATGACAGGTCCACAAATGTTGACGTGGTAGTCATTTAATCCATCGTGGGCTGAATAATCTTGAGTTGAGTTCCTCAGGGGGGTGAGATCATACAAGAATCCATAAAGAGGGTCCTGTATCTGGCAAGTTTGCGACTCAACTACATGCTTTGGGCAAGCAAAAGGAGTGGCCCACAAGAATACAAGCTCGCAGGTAGGAGATTCTTCAAGGAAGACAGGTTCATGTTCATACTTGTCACACGAAAGAATGATGCGAGTGGAGCGTGTGTGCTTCCCTTGATTGCAAGCATCTCCTCCTGCAAAGGCATAAATATTTGTTCCAAAACACTCAGAAAAATTAATGTGCACACTATCAGTTTATGAAGATATTATTCAAGACTAAATGCAGGAGCTGGTTAAAAGAAAACCTTGAATTTTAGTAGCCAAAAAATTCAAGTTAGAAACCATCACAAATAACTAATCATCTCCTTTTTGCTTATTCCGTAAGTAGAATAGTGAATAGTTATTATTGGCATAATGGTAAAAAACAGATGTGCCACTTAAGAGATGCAGATATTTTCATACAGTTATGATTTTATTGAACCAATGAAAAAATCAATGAAACATCTCAAGGTATTTGTAACTATTTACAAAATAAATATCACCCACAACATAATTTTTTATATATGTGGCAACTGAGCTAGTAAAATGGGTTTCTTATGTTAATTATAAATAATTTACAGCTGAAAATGATAGGAATGAATAACAATTATGTAGAAAGTTAACTGGGTAGCATGGATGATGCTGGATGTCATAGTATAGGTAATTATACATAGCCAAGACAGAGAGTAAACAAGTATATATATTATTTGAACATGGATTGTTTTTGGCCAGAGGATTCATTGAATCAAATTTTCAGGATTGAACAATATTGTTCATATGACATTGGTTGATCAAAATGCAGGTTCAAGGAAAAAATTTCAATTTATTAACAAGGTTTCAAATGCAACATCATTCATTTTCAAGTTATAGGAAGCATTGTTTTGGAGTTATCTTCATGGTTTAAAATTTGCTTTATTTATCATATTTCTGTGTATAATGTACTTATTTCCACCAAAATTTCTATATTTAATGATTGCTACAACTTGAAAATGAATATTGTTATATTTTAAAATGTCTAAGAAATTAAAATCACTTCCTTAAACCTGCATTTTGATCAATGAATGTCATCTAAGGAAAATTGTTCAACCCTGGAAATTTAAATCAATGAATTATCTTGCAATTAACCAACAGTGTTAAAACAAGTTTATTCTTTCATCTAATACTAACATAGGTAAACATATGTATATAGCTAATTATTAGTTAACATGAATTTGGATATATATATTAGTGTTGCTTTATAAGAGTACCAATATTGAAAGTACAGCTTTAGCTACCTATTAACATACATTATGGTAGCATGCTCAAATGTATAAATGATCAACTAATCAGTGTCTACTATGGTGGAGGTTACAGTTTATCCTTTACCAACTGTGCATGATCATGGATATGAAAGATTAGTTCTCCAGCACTTTGAGACATAGTTGATAAAACAGTGTCAATCAATACTGATATTAGTGATATATATACATGATTTTAATGCAATAGTGTGGCTATTTTTTTTTTTTTTTTTTTTTTTTTTGTTCATGTGGTTGTGGTTACAAGACTGTAAATAAATATGAAGTTTGCATGATGATGGTTGTAAAATTTTTGCAATTACCTGTGTAGATGATGGTGATGGTACCATCAGAATTAATGACAGGGTCAGAAGTGATGTAGCCAAGATTATAAGCAGTTTGTCTGTTAAGGCTGGTCTGGCAAGCCCCAACATTTCCAGGAGGGCAGGAATAGAAGCCCACAGGATTTACTGGCCCACACAAGTTGAGATGATACAGTACATCCTAGAGAAAATGGGTGTGGTCTTAAAATCAGCTGAATAAGTTCATTAATACATGAAAAAATTGAAATTATAACACAGCATGTAATAATATTATAAATCAGATCATGCAAATTTTATACCAAGTTTGGAGCAAACTGCAAGAGTATGTAAAGCCAGCAGAGCAGATACCTTTTGACCTAATCTGTCACAATGAATTATAAAACTCTTACGAATATATTTCAATAGCAAGTCTAGTTTCAATGTTAAGACCCAATAAATAAAATGCACATAAAAAAATCATAAACATAAAAAATGAAGTGAAATCTCTTTTGCAGATTTTGATAAAAAAAAATATATACATTTTTAGAGCCAATTATTTAAAAACTTTGCTCTCATTATTTAAATTTTACCCAATTCTAAACAACTAAGATCAGCACTTCAGTTACTAACTGGTAGACAAATTGAATGGAACTCAGAATCAACTGTATGATACAAAAAAAGTATTTCTGTTAAAAATATGTATTTCAAATCTCTCCTATCTATCCTAATATAATTCCCAGTCCAATTTATACATGGTAATTTACCTATTACTGTTATATATAATAGATTAATAGTACTGATCAATCTTACCCTATGATCTTCTCGACGATCAAGAACCTCCCAATTTTCTTCTTTCTTGTGCAGTGGTCTGAGATCAAAGACTTGATTCTTCCTGTCTTTAATTATACATCCATGTTCTTCAGGAGAACACACAACAGATGTTTTGGCATAAAAATAGAGATGAGATGAATTTCCAGCTATGAAATAAATTGTGGTGTTATGGGCATGACGATCACAAAGGAACTTGATCACAACATTTTTCTCAGTACCAGAAGAGTCGGCAGGATCTGATATTTTATCATAGTGAAGTGAGAAGTAAGGACCATCCCACATGACATCTATATCTGTTCTTGTCAACTGACTGATGACAACTGGGTTGGTGGCATTACTAACATCACACACAGTGGCATTTTTCCCACCACAAGAACCTGTTTCTATTGCACCACAGATGTTTATTTGATATTGTTTTCCATCCAAAATAGATGACACATTGTAAAATGTGGAAGAGTGAAGACTGTGCAAATTGAGTTTTTCACTTGAATTGATGAATTTATCCACACAAGTCAGGTGTTTTTGGTTATCTAATATTTTTGGACATGCAGCCTGCGTCAGCCAGGCAAAAGTAAGATAACAAGCTGTATTGCTCATCAGAAGTGGTCCAGCACTTTCTTGTTTTCCAGCATCAGGGCAGAGTAAATTAAGAGATGTTGTGTAGTTTGCAGAAGTCCCATGAAACTCGCATGGGGTACCATCTGTAAATTTGTACTCCAGCCATCCTTCACTTGTTAGTTGTAAGGAACTATCTGTGACCATTCCTGCATTGTCATTCACTACTGTTATGATCCTGTCTGATAAATCCAAGGATTCGTTTTTACTTATCTGTACAACACACACACCAGCACCAACATCAGAACAGTGAGACCCAGGTGGAGTATTGCGAAGTGGATGGCAGAGGCTAAGATAAAAGTTCAGGTTAAAATCTTTGTACCTTACTCTGTCTTCAACCGACCAGTAATCATTTTCGGCAAGTGATGTTAAATCGTAAAAGTGATCATCTGTGGTCAGGGTGCATTTAGTTTTAGAGTCACTAGCACCAACATCAGTCACCATTGTCAAACAAACGATGAACACTAAACAACTCAATATCATCGTTCTAAATACTTCGCGAGATTTCATTGTAATTGTTTCAGCATGAACTTTTCAGGAAGAAGTATTACGTGAACACTATTTTCAATATCCTTCACAGTTCACAGTCACACTGAAATTTCACTAGTCGTTTTCGCACTGCCAAGGCTACGGCTGCACCTCAAGTGACAGGAATCTAGATGAGCGCTTCTTGCTCATAAGAGAATTTCGTAAACATACGTTATATCACGTGAGCATTACTCATGCCTTCCGAGTTCAGAGAACCGCACACCCGAATAAATTTTCCTTCCTACGGCTACCAGTACACTAATAGGTTGATAGTTCTTTGTTTGGATTAGATATAAAGCCATTAACTCATAGGAGATATCACTCTAAGTGAAAGTTTTTATTCTACTAATTTGGCCTTGCTGCACTTGACCATGACATTCAAATCGAGTCGCGGAGTCGTACAGACCACGCAAATCGACGTTCAGTCAGTGACTGCTGGCATACATATTACATAATAAATATATTACGCGTTATTCAACAATAGGTTTCTCGAAACAATCATTAATCATTGCGTTTTGGGCTGTATATTATGAACAGAGATGGATGGAAAACGAAAAAATGTCAAAAGATTGCTCGCATTTGCTTTTTAAATTGATTGTTTATGAAAGCCTATTGGTTTCAAATTAGTTATAAAAAGATGACTTGGGTTATAAAAATCGCATTTTGTTGGTCATAAATCACGCGATTTCTCATAAATCACGCACACGTGCTTTAATTCAGGCACGTTGACCTACCGTGTGCGGTGTGTTTGTTAGAATTTAATGTTGCAAATTAATTTACGTAAAAATCAAGTTCAGAGGAAATTAAAAGAAAATACAACAGGCGGTCGCACATTTTATACTGCGAAGCTATGTAATTTCGAAGTGATTTTTACACTGTTCTTTCTTGGCACGACACAAAAATTTGGATGGATTGTCCCCTCTCTCTATGACCTATCAAGCTACCACGCGCACATGCAAGTACCATGCAGCTAGCAGCACAACGAGCGACGAACATGGCCCAGGAGAGCCTCAAACGTCGGTTCAGTTCAAGTTCAAGAGCAAAATTAATTAACTATATTGAAGAAAAACCTAGGCACCCTAGTCGGCATTTCATTGGGAAAAGGTTCAAGTAACTTTATTAACAAAGAATACATTTCAAAGAAAACAAATTTAGCAAAGGATCAGAAAGTCGGGTAGTCCGAAATTTTATTGATTTCGAAGGTATCCACTACCATACCTTCACTGAAAATCACATACCAATTAGAATGGAGAGACAGAGAAGGTATTGGTTACCGCTCTCTGTATGAAAAGTAGCATACACCGATGATACACGGTATGGCGACAGTCGCACGAGACAGGGAATGTAAGAACGAGAGCGTTTTCATTCTCACAATCAAGACCAGCAATAAAATGATCCGAGCTCTGGTGGGTTGCCCCCGGGAACGAGTCCCCAGGCAGATTAGCTATTGATGAAAATTTAATAACAGTTCCAAACATCACAATTGCACAATGAAGAACACATTGCCATTGCAAAAAGAAATTTCATGCCTAACCGTTCACTTCATGGTAAAACCATTGGAACATTCAACATCTAACATTATGTCTTTATTTTATTTATGCAATAAAGTATAAATTTCAGCAAATGAACTATTAAAAATATGATATGAATTTATATAAGTATTAGAGTTCTAACATGTAACGTACCGTAGCTACGAAAGCAATGGTGCATCAGCCCGTCATTTCGATCGAATTTAATAATAATAATAGCGGTTTCAGCGTTTAGTAGGCCGTAGGCCTGTCGCCGATTCTTAACATCGCAGAACATTCACAGCTTGTTGCGGTCTCGAACTCACAATTCACTGCTACAATTCTGCAGTGCTCAACCGCTCGGCCTTCTTGCCGATTCTGACCAGAAACTGGCGCACAGAGCTGGGATCGAACCCGCGCCTCTCTGCGCCAATCTTGGAACTCTGAACTGTAACCACAGAGGCAAGGATAATAGAAAAGAACAGCATTAAATGCAACACTGACATATTAATATCAAGTTAAAAACTAAACTCAGTCGCTAAATAGGCAAATGACAACTGTTATGGTAAGCTTGACCTTAATTTCTACAAATATCACAAATTCGATTTAGTATTTACGATAGGCAGGCTGAGTTCATGAGAAGAATAGGGTTTGAATCGAGATTGCATTGCCATTTTTGTACCTCATTATACGTTATCCGACCTCTAAAAAGGTTATTAACATTCTATCCTCATATTGGCCACCATGACATCGTGAAAAAATGCCAGTGTTAGATTTTGGAAACGCAACCTTAGAAGGGCATTGTCATGTAGAAAATCGGTTCATGATAAAGAGGGAGAATCCTGACAATACTTCATGTAACATTCCACAACAAGAAGTGAATAAAACTTCACTTCTTGGCAACGCAACGGAAAAAGACGCACAGTAAGGGATAACACAGATATTTTTGTATAAGAGTTTTAGTGCCTACATCTATGACTGAGTTGATAGATCGCATGCGAAGCGACCGCTCATCATTGCTTGTTATTGAGGTCTATATACTGACGCACTTTTCTCTTAAAAGATTCTTTGTCTTTCTGGTAATGGTTGGCAGCTTCTAGATTTAGCGGGTCGTCAAAATTCAAGAGATCCTGGAAAAAGAACAAAAATTAGTTCATATATTATTGCAAAATATTTAGAGTTGAAAGCTTTGCACTTAAATAAATAATGCCACCCAATCAAGATGACACAAACCTAGACACTCGGAAATCAATTACACCAAAAGTACAGAAGAGTTACCCGTGGAAACAAATCAGTTACCGTATAATGCATGAATTAGTTTTCATGAATAATCTTTCCAATAAAAAGTCATACAACAGGTATAAGATTATGTTTCAACGAGTAACATTGGCCATTGCCAAGCAGAACACTTTAATTATTCCTATAATCCATCCGGCATACCATACAACCACAAGCTGGTCTATAAACTCATTTTAAAGGCTGAACAGTGGAATGAAACACAAACATTTCAAGAAACAGAGAAAGACCAGACTAGACCTAATTTTCAATGCCGACACTACTGTATTGTAACTGTATTACAGTATACCAATAGTGTCCATAACTCACCGCAAATAAGCTATTTAGTCCCCATATTACATCTTTGAGTCGGCGCGTCGGTGCCCAGCCTAACCCGTCTATGGAATTCTTACGTAGCAATGATAAACAAATGTCGCCGTCTTCGCTGATGTTGGGGTGCCACAGCTTCGTCTCGCACCGAACTATAGGCGGCTGCGAAAAGTGTTGAATTTTGTATTAATTCAACGTCATCTACATGAATTTCTGTCACCTAATTTGTCTATTTCGTGTAAAATAACATGCAATTTAATGGGAAATGAAAATAATCAGAAACTAACAGACACTATCAGAACTAAGAAAACCAGGTTATATATTTTGTTCTCGTATAAAATAATTTAAGACGTTGATATAAATCGTGGTAATGTCTAGTTCTAAACGAGTATCGGTCAACGTTCGACACTAATTCAAACCTCTATAAACATTTTCTTTATTAGGTCAATTAGATATATGATATTATGTAATGATCCAGAATACTGCACCAACTTCGCATAATAGATTTCAGTCTCCAGTGGCAGCTACGGAAACTAACAATACAAACAGAACGTTCGTGATAAGATCAGACGACAGTGTCCAAAGCGGTCCCTAATTGAATGCCCCTACAAACATTTATCAAGCCCCAAAGTATAATGCCTTCTTAGATACATCAGTTCACAGACGACTTGTACATCATCGCCGTATTTGAAGAACGTGTTGGGATCGATTAATACTTCGTTGTGGATATTGGGCTATTTTTTTATTCTTTGGAACTATACGGTTACCCTAAGATGGTGTAAAAATATCAACGGTTTGGTGGTGTTAGGTAATTTGCAAGAGAAGAAATAGATATAAATTCACGAATTCCACGAATATAATTACTATACGAAACTAATTAATTGATTCTTATTTGGTTAACAGTACGATTAGAATGTCCATAAATACAGTCTATAAATAAGAGAGCTTTTAAATGTAACGACACTTATTTCTAATTGCCATAGATAAAGAGAATATAGCGGTATCTATAATAGGCCTATACTATAATCAAATTTTTTGTTTTTCTTCATCAAGTCCCAGTGAACTTAAGACTCAATATTTACCGAGATACGCGTTATCACGACGCATCGGAAATTTCAGAAAGGCGTCGGCAGTTTCGACATTTGATTTTCTAAATTGGTATAATACCGTATGCTGCGAATCCTTCTGATGATCAGTTGGGACGTATATATCGAGATTATCGGATGTTGATAATAAGTTACGGTCTCGAGAATAATACAGAGATAGTTCATAATTTGTTGAAAATTGAGAATGAAAATATTGAATAAATTGAGAATGAAAATATTGAATAAATTGAGAATGAAAATATTGAATAAATTGAGAATGAAAATATTAGAAGCTAATGAGGATAATGGCTATTGACTATATGGGATGTTAGATGCTAATTAGCTGCCGTAACTATTACAGGAACGACAGACACTGTCAATGGGAACAATAATCACGAGAAAATTCAGTCAGCAGGAGAGTGCTGTACAGGATGTATTGTACACTTCTGTACAATACAGTACGTTGACGAAGCTATCAGCTTATCATCGGCACATAGTGGCAAACCAGAGATTTTTTAGAATCAGTTCATTTTTAATTTCCTCATTTAATCAAGATTTGAACCAATTTCTTATGTATGAGAATACTGCCATGATCGGCATGCATGGCCGGAAAACACAGCAATATTGCAGCTACCCATAGCAATGTTCCTTCTGCAGTTTGATGAACAAAGCTTAACTGTGACATGACAAATTAACTCAAGATTTAATAATATCAATTATCAAGACATATTAATACCTTAATTATTATTAATGATTTAATATATCAAATTAGTAGGCATTACTAATTTTGACATTTCACCAGATAGAAAATATTATTAATAATAAAATATTCATCTAACTTGATTAATAAGTCTGAGGTCAGCAATTAAAGCAATTGTAATGAACTGTATTTGTATTGAAATAATTTTTGATTGATTTAATCTGAAATTCTACTCAAACCCTCTTTTTTAATGAAATTTATAGCAATACAATTTCTTATACTTTCTTAGACCTTGCAAATTGGTGGGTAAATATACTGAAACCATCAATACAGTACAAGCAAGTAGAAAATTTTCCATAGTTTTATGGTAATACTCACAACATTATTATACTCATCAGGAACAACCACACTGAAGTGGAATTTGCCTCCCCTCCACAAGCCTTCTGATGGCGCCACAGTCAGGGTAAATGTGTGTAGTTGGTCAGGGTCTTGAAAATCAACGGAACAACCTTCTGGTAAGTTGTCCTGCATCTCACTCACCTGCAAACCACAGTCACAGTCTCATATCATGAATCTTGTTCATTGTTCAGAGTACAAGAAGTACAGCAAATAAACAAGTGAACTGACATACAGAATGTGTTTTTGTTGACGTCAAATTAATCATGTTCATTGTTCAGAGTACAGGAAGTACAGCAAATAAATAAGTGAAAGGACATACAGAATGTGTTTATGTTGATGTCAAATTAATCATGTTCATTGTTCAGAGTGCAGGAAGTGCAGCAAATAAACAATTGAAAGGACATACAGAATGTGTTTTTGTTGACGTCAAATTAATCATGTTCATTGTTCAGAGTGCAAGAAGTGCAGCAAATAAACAAGTGAAAGGACATACAGAATGTGTTTTTGTTGACGTCAAATTAATCATGTTCATTGTTCAGAGTGCAAGAAGTGCAGCAAATAAACAATTGAAAGGACATACAGAATGTGTTTATGTTGATGTCAAATTAATCATGTTTATTGTTCAGAGTACAGGAAGTACAGCAAATAAATAAGTGAACTGTATACAAAATTTGTTTATGTTGATGTCAATCAGCAAGAAAAATGTATATACCTTAGAGCAATGATAGAAAAAAATTCAATACTTTATTTATATTGGCACAAGCACAGAGCTCACAATTTTTACTGGATAATATTCCAAAAGCTTGAGATAAATTTGAAATATTTGAATACCACAGTTGAAAGGCACGCAATTTCTATTTCAGATGTATTTCAATTTCAGATGTAGGTTAAGCGATTCCTATTTCAGATGTAGGTTAAGAAGAGAAATTAATAAGTAGGTATCAAATGATATTAAAAATAAAGTGTAACATTTAGATCTGCAAATAATAGTATTACAATATGTTTAGCCAAAACTATATACACAAAAATACTCTCATAAACTAACATAAGAAATGAAAATGTTTATTTTGTATTGAGATTTTTGTTTAGATTTTGATCAAGTGAAAACTTGATTAAATGCCCTTATAATAACCTTAATGCTACAGATATGCTGTAACATATTATATAAAATGCTACTTTGTTTTCTTTGAAACGATAACAGCATACAAAAAAGTGAACTTACATCTTTAATTAGTAGTTGATCACGAATGGAAATCCTTCGTTGACTTGACTGAGCTGTTGCACCAGCGGAGCCTGACTTCAGTTTTTTCGAGAGAGTGATCATTTTAAGATCATATACTTCTCTATGCAGACCAATATACAAATTTTACAGAAATTCTGAGGATGAATGCCCCAAACAACCCAAAGACCAACTTTATTTATAGAACAACTTTTAAAGTCATCTATAAATGCTACCTATCACAAGATTCACAGTTGTCAGTTATATTTGATCACATATTGATTTATTAGAACATTGCATGATCACGCATGCATACTTGAGGTCTAGAAAAATTACATGCAAGATTATCAACACAAAAAATTAAGCTTTGTATGAAATTATAGAAGCATTGAGAAATTTTCAACCAGGGTTGGCAATGATTAAATCAAAATGATTAAATCATGTGATTAAATCACTTGATTTTTTTATAAAAAAATCATGATTTTTTTGATTTTTTCGATTTTTTTTTATTTTTCAAATATTTAAATATATTGAGTGGCAGTCTTTAATTTATATTGAGGTATTGTTATTCATGGTTTAGTATAAATGTACTATGAATGACAAATTGGTATATAAACATGTTGCCTTTAGTATGTATTAGGTTCCAATAAATTGAATGTTTTTGGTACAGAGGCATCAAGTGTGCAATACATTGTATGTAGCTAGCAGCTTAGCTAATTCTTATAAGGCTACCCATAAGTAGTCCTTAACTATTTGACTATGTATTTGTTATATATTGCTTACAATATACAATTTAAATGTGTTGGCTAGCTTATATAGGGTGGGGCAGAACTGATTGACAGTTTTGAGACAAAATAAAAGAGTAATGGAGGTACATAAAGATGAAAGTTTATTTTCCTCAAGATTAGCATAACATACCATTTAAAATACTTAGGTTTTGAAAACAAAATCAGGAAGATGGGGTTTGTTAGCTGCATCACACTGTTGGAGTCATTCTCGGAAGTTCACACAAATGGCGAGGTATGGCCATAACCTCTGCTGCAATAATCAGTTCCCTTAGCTGTGGTAGGGTGTGAGGGGGACTTCTGAACCCCTTTCTTCTAGATGTCCCCAAAGAAAGAAATCACAAATGCTCAAATCAGGTGGCCTTGCAGGCCACTGTAAATCACCCCTCAGAGTCTGGGAACATGCTTTTCAAAACATTGAGTGACATTCGGGCTGTGTGAGCTGTAGCCCCATCCTGCTGGAACAACACGTCTCCCTATGCTTCATTTTCAACAATGTTTTCCATCATGGACTGCAAGAAATTTTGTAACATTGCAGCATAGCGATCGGAATTCACTGTTATGGTTACTCCCTCTGAGAACAACTCCAATAGTGTGGTGCTGCTTACAGCCCCCATCTTCCAGATATTGTTTTCAAAACATAAGTATTCTAAATGGTATGTTATGCTAACTTGAAAAAATCAAAAAAATCAAATAAATCAAAAAAATCATGAAAAAATCAAAAAAATCATTGATTTTTTATTTTTTTGATTTTTTTAAAAAATCAAAAAAATCACCAACCCTGTTTTCAACTAAGAAATACTGTCAAATGGGGTAATAACTAATAAGGGATGGTTTCGAGCATTTTTTGTTAATAACTTCTTACCATGAAACATTTTATAAACAAGTTTGGGCTCATTTTAAAGCTCTTTGCAAGGGCTTTGAATGGCATCTCCCTAAAAATTCCAAATGCTATTTGTGAAATGCCAGTCGCAAAATAAAAGCGTCCTGAATTAACCCTGGGAATGGGATAATCTGAGACAAGCAAAGCAAAGTGTACTCATCCATTACTAACAGTACTCGGATCGTCAGATGTCCTCTTCCTTTGACAATGACCTTGTCAAGCTTCATATCAGCAGCCATATAGCATTTCTTCTGTATCTGTAAGATTACAGGATGGCTTGTAATTTTGCACCATTTTAATAGGATCAAGACTGTCAAGTGAATTTACTGTAAAAAAAATTGTAAAAACATACCTGAAACAGACAGGAATATATTTAGTGACAACTATCATAAGTTTTGGGACAATAAATCATAGTTTAGGTTAATTGCTTTTCATTCTATGTTGCCTGGTGCTCAATCTATCTATGATATTCTATGCACAAGTTTGTCATGAACAATGATGCATTAATTTTTTGTTAAATGAAATTTTTAAATGTAAATAAATGTCATCAAAGTCAAAGGTAAATGTGTTTTAAGTGCAAGGTAAATGTCATCAGAATTCTTTGTTGTAAACTTGTAATTGATTTTTTAGTTAACTGGTACTGGAGCAGTGGAGCCTTTGCTGAGGTTCTAATGGACTAATGACAAATGGAAATGCGTTTTATATAGCGGTTTCAGCGTTATTAGGCCGTAGGTCTGTCGCCGATTCTTAACATCGCAGAACATTTACAGCATTTTGCGGTCTCGAACTTGCAACTCACTGCTACAATTTTGCTGTGCTTAACCGCCCGGCCTCCTTGCCGATTCTGACCAGAAACTGGCGCACAGGACTGGGATCGAACTAGCGCCTCTCTGCGTCAATCTTAGTACTCTCACTACTCTGAAGTCTGAACTTTAACCACTGGGCCACCCTGCCCAGTTTTTATGGGGTGCCGGTGCCCTTACCCTTATTACCCCAGGGCCTGGCCCAGGGCCCCAGGGGGGTGTCCCTTATTACCATGTCTTGCAGAAATGATGCCATTTATTGTTGAAGGGTATGAGCTATGCAAATTCCATCAGTCATGTTTTTAAGCCAACACCTGTGTGCAACTTTTATGTAGGTAAATTTTTTAATACGGCAAATTTTTTTACAGCCCTTGGCCCCTTGCCCCTTGGCAAGTCGCAAGTTGGCAGAGGTACTCTTCCAAAATCTCACTTTTCACACTTTTTCTAGGGATTTTTTAGAGGTAGGCTACCTAGGAAATGTAGTCTCAACTTGCTCAAGTTGCTTTATGCTACATATAGGAAAAATGTGTAACTTTACAGACTTTACACTACTATTTTTTGTTTTGCAATACTTTAATTAGTTTATTTGCTACAACAGTTATATGAAATGTTGAAAACTTGGAGGACTGTCCAGATTTATGATATACCTAAACTGATTAAATATATACTGATTTCTATTATATATTTAAAAGATAAAAAAAAATACTGATGTGAGTGATGTCAAACAGTCAACTTGTCAAGTTACATAATAATAATGGATAAGGGTATACCTAGTCACAGTTTCAAGGAAAATATTATAGCCTTAATAAAAAAATGATAATAGTGAAATACAATGCAAGGATTCTAACTGCCTAAATTTAAATCTTGGCTAAGTTGGCTGCCCGGGTCCACAGAACTTTTACGTAGTCTCCTAGCTACTGGCTTCTACTGAGTACTGAGTACTGACACATCTCATGAAAAGCAGAGGGGGAAGGGCGAGAAAGCCAACCGGGTTCCGGGTTCTTGACGCTGATCGGACTATAGGGTAGAATCGAAAATTTTCACTTTTTACGTTTTTTGGACTCATCTGAAAGCTGGAATTCTGCTCTTTTCAATGGTACCACTGCCATCGCTGTACGCCAACATTTATGTTCATGACGTCTCTTTAAAGGGAAGCGGGTGGGAGAGTTCTTTAACTAATTAGATATAAAGTAATTAGCTGCTGAAATCTTTGAATATAGTTTCTACTTGAGTTGTGCTGCAGTTACATGCTTAGTCTCATCTTAAAGCTGACATTCTGAGCTTTCCAACGATACTACTACGATCCATGTACGGCAATATTGACGCACACAGCCGGGCTTTAACGGGGGGCGGGGGGTGGAGTTCCTTCAGTAAATAGACCTAATAAAATTACAGCGGAAAGACTAAATATATTGGTGTATCTGGCATCTGAGCTCAGTTACCCTCCTAACTTTGTACGGAGGGGTGCGCTACAAGTTGCTGCTAGCATCCTTGAGTGGATTAAGCTACAGAAGCCTGTAATTTGGTATCCATGCTACATTGAGTGCCTATTTCGAGGCGCACGGGACTTTGTCGCGCCGTCCTGAAAAGTTCAACTTATTGTCACGGAAAACCTATCTCCTCCTAGAGTTTCTAAGCTACAACTATGAGACATATACCATTCGATGCGCAACAAAATTATCTAGAACGTAACACGGGCGTTTTTCTAATTTCTTTATAGTTTGGATTTTATTCCGCAAAAGGGGGGGTGGCGGGGGGGAAAATCGAAAAATTTTCGAAAAATTTACGAAAAATGCTCCCACACCCACAAAAATGAGAAATCCTAAAAACCCTCGTGTTGCGTTTTAGATATGGTCTTTACGCATCGAATGATATGTGTCTCAATGTTGTAGCTTGAAAATCCTAGGAGGAGATAGATTTCTACGGTACCCCCTTTTATGGCCGTTTTCTAAGAATTTCACGTTTTCTTTCATTTTTTTTCGAAAAATTCACACGAACAAAAATGTCTTAGAATTCTATTTTACATATGTGTACCAAGTTTCAGAGTGATCCGTTTGTAAATAGCCGAGATAAATTTAACCCTAGACGCTCCCCTTAATTCAACCATGGATCGGACCCATGGTTGAACTAGTATATAGTTCAACAATGGATCAGATCATTCGCTGAATATAATGAATATACCCGTGGTATATTTAGAAGCAAGTCAAAGATCAAGATATACGCGATTTATATTTTTTTTGCCAGTTAACTTCAAGCAGGGTAGCCCAGTGGTTACAGTTCAGCTGAGTACCAAGATTGGCGCAGAGAGGCGCGGGTTCGATCCCAGCTCTGTGCGCCAGTTTCTGGTCAGAATCGGCAAGGAGGCCGGGCGGTTAAGCACATCAGAATTGTAGCAGTGAGTTGCGCGTTCGAGACTGCAAAATGCTGTGAGTGTTCTGCGATGTTAAGAATCGGCGACAGGCTTACGGCCTAATAAACGCTGAAACCGCTATTTCATTTCAAGCAATCAATGACAACTATAGTCTAGATAGATTAGACAACCCCGCAACAGGCCATGGTCCTATTTCATCAGTGCCGACACTTATATTCTATTCTAGTTACTCTATGAACGCAGCTCATTCTGTAATTCTGTGGTCAATTTCATACCTATAATTTTTTGGTACAAGAACCTGCCCTTGATACTAGATTGCATTGATGTGTACCTCTTGCTCTGGGACAATTCTCCGGCCGGACTTGCGGCTCGTCTCATAGAGTCGTGAACATAAAATATCTCTCATACTATGGATCGCAGCTCGATAAACTTTTATTATTTTTCGAATTCGCATTCGTTTTCAACTTATACGATCGTACCGGCCAAAAAAAGTTCCTGAACTACTGAGCAAATATGATCAAAATTGGTATGTAAATACCGAATCACCTAACGCTTATGTTTGGCTCGTCGCAATTCTTCCCGTTTTCGCATTCATCTGCGAGTCATTCGGCCATTCCTAGAAACGACCCTTATGTATGCGGCCGATTGTCAAACGTGTAGGTACATGAGCGTACTTGTAAGCCTCAACGAGGTCCACATCCAGACTGGATGTGGACCTCGTAACTCGACTGGGGAGCCTCGACCTCGTAACGTAACTTCGACTGGGGAGCTCCTTAATCGCTGACCTTTCTTCATAAGACTTGCACTCCAAGTCTGAAATTATCTTTGTTGCACGTCTCTGAACACTCCCAACTAAATTTTTATCCTTTTCAGTTTAGGTGGCCAAACGGCGTTTCCATCTAGGTGCGGGTTCTGGCAGCAACAAACAACAAATTCATCGATTCTGCATCTCGGTACTCGTAGGAGCGTTTGATCAGTCCAGCCGTTTATTGGATTTATTGACGAGAATCTAGTCTACAGACAGCATGAAGCTTGTCTCACGGCAATGGTATCAGGAGCTCGCTGTGGCTGTAGTACTATCTCACAGCAGTGCCTGAGTCCACGTGGTTGCATGCAGTTGAACTAAAAACTATCGTGGCTGACTGTGACCGGGCGGTCACACGACGATACAAAATATCCTAAAACTTTAGTTCATAACCGTTCGGTGTGAAATAACTTTGGTCCGTTGTACACACGACCAATTTTGATACAAAAATGAACGGGAGAGGAATGTATTGGCATGATGAACAATTTAAAGTCATAGCCACCGCAAGCTCGCGTGAGCATTCTTAAAGATAGTCTGACCACATTCAGCAGAACCTAATCACGTCATGAGCGGATTTACAAGATAACTGGTCCCGCTTCTCTACCATCCCGCTGCCCATGAGGTTGGACCAAGTTCCCAGTTTCTTATCGGTCGAGAGTCTGAGCAACGCGGGCAGATAGGGCCTGCTGATGATATGCCCTAACTTAACTTGAGGTGTTTAATCCGAGGTGGTTGACATGCGGCGCTATTTCTTAAAGCACTTCATAAGCTCATTGGCTCCCTAGCTTGCTTACTTACAGAAAATATGAAATGGATTGCGTACTTGGGCGGTACTGGCCCAGAGCATGCATTTTAATAGCAGCAAAATGCAATAATACAAGAATTTCCCTAAATAAAGCTTTATTTGACAATCATGGAAATAATTAGAGACACATGGCAGCGTCATTCCAAATTTAAATGTCACGCATTTAATGAACATAAAAACATTACTTTACTTATCCATAGGCGTTAGTTTTATGAAATCCCTCCTACCTCACTTGAAATTTCTACAAGATTGCCAAAAAAACATAATACATTATTTAAGGAATCTCATAAATTTATCAACAAGTAAAAGAATGTCGCCCTTTATAGTCTGAAAAATTCTAAACATAGATACTACCTACAAACAGACTAGTAAAACTAACAAAAATAAGACAGAACTAAGATCTAATACGTGAGCATTATGAAAGCACTTAAAATTAATTTAAACTGTACACGTGCGGCTGTGTACAATGACACGCTGTCATTCAACGTTTAGAAGGAATTGGTGCACGAGTCATTTAGTTGACCACAGAATGGTTGAAGCAATACTTAGCCTTAATCATTTCTTGAAAGGATGTTCAGAATTCGAGTCTTCTGACATGTGAAATTGTGTCGATGAAAAATCAACCACGTCTTGTGAATCGCTCATTGTTGAAAATCCTGAAAAATACACCAACTGAAACAGCCACATGAAAATTTAATGACATTTATAGATAACCCCCTGCCATTACAAAACAAACACCATTAGTAACCTGGTTCAGACCCATGTCTACGTCCACATACCTACATGCAATCCTCATCTTATCGGGTCATTATCTGATCAGGAAATTAAATTTGTACAGGCGGAATTATGAAGCGCTAGAAAACGGTAAGGATAGGGTTACACTTAACAATAGCTATTTAACTTTCGTCAGTAAATGTGAATTATACTCCAGCTAGCAAGTTAGCCCGGTATTGATTGTGATCATACATGCAACGTTAGAATCCCTTTATTATGAATCCCATTAAAAGAATAATAATAAAGAATTTTGATAAAAAAGACCAGTTCAAACCAAAATTTTAAATGGAACATAGAACTCTTACTCAACTCCAGTAACAAAGAGCAATAAAACTTTTTATTTGTTTTCTAAACTAAAAAAATTGTGGAAATATACCTACATTTGTTTTTATTTACGGGTGTAAGCAGGGCTTACTTCAATATATACCCATAGCTGGTAATTCATTCAAGTAGTCATGAATTAAATGAACACATGACCCAGTAATAAAAAGAAAGTAGCATTTAAATTAAATCAATCTACAGTAAACACACATTCCTCACCACAATATTCAACAGTCATCAAATTATTTAACATATAACATTTAAAATCATTCTACTCTAGTCACCTGTGTTTGAGTCTTCCCCAATTTGCATGCTGTTTTCCCGACTACAGCTCCGTGATGCATTCTCTTTGTTGCTGCTCATCAGCATGCTTAAATGGCGATTTTTCTTTCGGTCCTGCAAAATAAATTTTTATTAATGTTTGTGATAGGCACAATCTTCTGTTCCATAAATTTTCCATTCAAATTACAAAAACCTTTGGTGTTACTTTAGATTAAACGCATCAAAAAAAAAAGTTTTTTTAATTATATGTTATTTGGGGTGTAGATTAAGAATCTGAAATCCGTTTTTGGCGATCGGCATCGGAAATTTTAATGGAAACTGTTCCTAACTGGACCTAACGTGCGAGGTTTTCGTTGATCGGCTAGGTTTTTTCTATGTTTGGAGTCCGTCCGGCGGCCGGAAAAACCTAGCCAATAGGTTTTTTTCTGTGTTTGGAGTCCGTCCGGCGGCCGGAAAAAGCTAGCCAATCAACGAGAACCTCGCAAGTTAGGTCCAGTTAGGAACAGGTTCCATTAAATATTTCCGATGCCGACCGCCAAAAACTGATTTCAGATTCTTAATCTACACCCCAAAAAACATATAATTAAAAAATAAAAACACCTTTTTTTGGATGCACTTAATCTGAAGTATTACCAAAACTTTTCCATCCTACAAATATGACTTAACATTTCCAGACTTTCTTCAAAACAAAATGCAGCTATGATAGATGAGAATGTCAATAATTTCTCTGCACATAACTGACATAAGTCAGATGTACATTATAGTAAGAATTCCAAATACATTTTATGGTAATACTTTAAAGCCAACTTGTTACTGCAAAATTGATTTGCAATTATATATTAACATGAAAAATATATATAGATACATATGAATGGATCCTGCAATGTTCATCATGAAATTGATTCTCTTAAATTTTGCCTAGTACAGCATATTCCAAAAATTTGCCATGCTAAAAATTACAATTGTTTCAGAAATTCTGACAGCAGATAAATGATGCTCGCTTCACATGAGAAACTCACCTCTGATATGACAGGTACCCATTTATATATTTTCATTGTAGTGTCAGTTATTGTCATCCATCTTTTCTCCCTGAAATGCAATAATTAATAAAGGCATTTCAAATGTTCAGATATATTTGAATTCATTTTCAATACATTTTTTTATAAAACAGAAATTGTCCTAGTTTCAGTAGACAAAATTTTTTGTTATGTTTTGTTAAATTAAGTCAAGACTCACCATCTTCTAACTTTGTCAACTGCTTGCATAGGCCGTTTAGTATCGTCTTTTCCTCGAGATCGAGTCTCAGCACGTAGGGTTCTAGACATCAGCATATTGGCTGGTCAAGTGTTGCTGAAAAGCTGTGGAGAAAACAGCCAATAATCATAAAAAATGTAAAATGATATAAAAAAATTATCATAGCTTACCAGAAATACAAAGCCATAGCTGTCATTTAGGAGTCTGTCATGATTAATTAAAATTGAATACCTTCTAATTATCTCACTGGTGCAAAGTGCAAACGGCTGTTTGAATAGTACTCAAATGCCTTTTTAGCCAAAAAAACACTAAGTTGGCAAGTTTGAGAAAATGAAAATGTTTTCAGTACAATTTGCACTGCCAAATTCACTAATTTTAGTATAAGGGTAAATGTTCTTAATCCAATGGTGCAATTATGCAGTCAAAAAGTGATTTTGCAAATTAGCTATGACATTATTAAACAGGTTTCATCAAGATTTGTAATAATCAATATTGATAACAACTGAGATCTTAGAAGCTCTAAGAATTCATTTGCCACTATACATTTAACATTTTTCCTCCAAAAGATAGTCCCCAGAAGTCAGAACATCAACTCTGGTATATGGTTCAAGTTATATATATGTATATGCCCAGTGGATAAGCAGAGTTATTTAGGCTCTTATACTTCATTTTAATTTCCTCACTAACTCAAGATTTAAACTAATACCTTACACCATAAAACGGGGTAATAAGGAATGGTTTTGAGTGTTTTTTTGTTAATAACTTACCACAAAACATTTCATAAACAAGTTTGGGCTCATTTTTAAGGCCTTTGTAAGGGCTATTGTATGGCATCTCCAAAAAATTCCATATGCTATTTGTAATATGCCAGATGCAAAATAAAAGCATCCTTAATTACCTCTGGGAACGGGCCAGGTAATTAGGAACACTTGAAATAAAACTTAATTTTAAAACGTTTAAAAAATGCAGAGTGAACTTGTCTATTACTATCAGTACTCTGAAGTCCTCCTCTTCTTTTGTACATGTAGATATGTACATGTAGAATATATGACATTTCCTGTGATTTTTGTGTGTTTTTCCTTTATTCATACAATATTACTATATCCATACAATGCCGTATTATTGATATGGTATTACCATATCCATGGACATGCCATTGAGCATTGACAACAACCTTATCCACTGCAAGCTTCATATCAGCAGCCATATAGCAATTCTTCTGTATCTGCTGTAAGCTTACAGGATGGCTTGTAATTTTGCCACATTTTAACTGGGTTAAGTGAATTCACTATAACAAAAAAGATTGTAAAAAACATTCCTGGAACAGAAATGAATATTCTAGTGACAACTATCATAATTTTCAGAGAACTTATAAACCATAGTTTAGGTTAATTACTTTTCATTCTATGTTGCCCAGTGCACAATCTATCTATGACATTCTTTGCACAATTTTGTAATGACTGTCAACTGATGATGCATTAATTTTTTTATTAGGTGAAATTTGTTTGCCAGGTGAGGTAAATGTAATCAAATTTCTTTATTGTTAATTGATTTTTTCATTAACTGGAGTCTGGAGCCTTAGCTAACTGAGGTTCTACACTAAATCCTTCATTACCCTGCGGGTGTTCCAGCTGTCCCTTATTACCCCATCTGGGAAATGGCTGACATTTTTGGAGGGGATGAGCAACGCAAATTCTGTGTCACGTTTTTAAGCCAACACCTGTGTTCAACTTCGATGCAAGTAAAATTTTTTAATATGGCAAATATTTTATTTTTTGTTATGGATCTTAGCAGAGGTACTCTTCCAAAATTTTACTCTCACAATTTTTTTCAGAGAGTTTTTAGAGACTAATCAGATGCTTATACAAGTTCCTAGATGCAGAAGTGATGAAGCAGTTGTTTGTTGCTGTCGTGTGCCCGAATCTAGGGTCGATCTGTCGTGTGCCCAATTTGAAAAAATTTAATAGAGAATGTTCAAAGACATGCAACCAGGATAATTCCAGGATTGAAGGGCAAGTTCTATGAAGAAAGAATAAAGATTATGAAGCTTCCAAGCCTCAGTTATCAACGTCTGCATGGGGACCTGATTGAAGTACACAAGTATACTCATGGTTCATACAAGATCCTCAAAGGATTACTAGAATTTGAAACAAGAACCAACACCAGGGGCCATTGCTATAAACTAAAAAAACTGTGCTGCAACTTCTCCATGCGCCAACATTTCTTTTTACTTCAAATCACCAACATATGGAAGTGGAACAGCCTCCCCAATGACATTGTATTGTTGGTGCTCTATGTATGTTAGTATGTAGTACACATTCAAGAACAGACTACTAGATAAATCTATGAAAAAATATATTTTCAGTTTTGAAATGCCTAGCACCATATCAAACCCCATGGTCAGGAAGATATGCCAGGTGTGCGGGAATTTATTTTGTCATTTTAACAACCTGCGCAGTGCGCCGTACTACGTTGGTGAAAAAATGCGCTGTGCGCCGTACTTTAGAAAGCTAAAATAGTTCTACTATTTTAGTCGACAATATATACGCAAGTATATTGACTACGCGAGTTGAACTTATAATAATAAAATGTAAGACATGTCCAGGTTACTTCTGACTCTTCTTGTTGTCTGCCTTGTCGGATACGGAACGTACGGTAATCGTAAACTGCGGCTGTTATACATACGAAATGTAAACAGACGGTGTTCAGTGTTGCCATATGACTTTGGAGAAAATTTCTTCTAAAATAAAGATGGACGGGATTGCGCAAACACGTGCGCAAAGATAATCAATTTTCATTACACTGCGCCAACTGTGCACAGCAATAGCTTAAAAAAAGTGAAAATGCGCGGGAAAATTCACCGAAAACATACATCATCCTGAGTGTGGATCAAACCTGGTGGAAGTTGAGTACTGAGTAGCTATCTCAAACTATTGTCAGACCTCAGTCATGAAAAAATCCGGTCAAATGACACGATTTTAGATCTTCTCTGAACAAGGCACAAAAAGGAAAAGAATCGGTGACAGGCCACATCCTGACGTCAGGCCTGCACTTCAGCACCAAGATGACAAGATCACTGTGTTTAGTGTGTTATGAGTTATGTTACCTATGTTATGATAAATTTTTCATAACTTGCTTTTTCAGTTTGTGCTACATTAGCCTATTAGGTACCTAGATAGGAAAAATGTAGAACTCCCTATACGTCACTATTTTTAGTTTGGCAACATTTATAATTTTTATATAGTTTGGTTGCTACAACAGTTCAACAAAATTTTGGCAGACTGTCCCAATTTTCCCTGCCCGTCCCTTATTACCCCGTTGCATGCATGGTATATGATAATGCTTATAGGAGTTATATCCATGTTCCATTGGCATTATGCTTTGCTGGTCTACTTATAGGACTCAAAGTACTACAAAATTGAACCTAAGAAGAGTCTAAAAAAAACTCTGTTTTGCCACTATGCGAGCCTATTGCAAGGCTGAGCACAATAATCATGGATACCATACCAGCATATCACACAATGCACATTGCACAAGACATGATTTTGGTTTAAGGGGACTGCCAGACTGGGGTCTGACCATCTGACTGTCTGAGACTCTGAGGAGCGTCTGGTGGGTTTTTGTATCTTGGTTATTTATGGATGGATCACTTTGAAACTTGGTAGAGTTGGTACACATAGGCCTATGAAAAACATAAATCTAAGACTTCTGTGTTCATGTAACTTTTTTGAAAAAAATGAAAGAAAACGTGAAATTCTTTAGAAATCGCCAAAGAAGAGGATACCTACTGGCTACTGTAGAGTGTAGGCTAGAAATTTATTTCATCCTAGGATTTTCAAGCTAGAAAGAACATTGCTACGCACTTCATTCGATGCGTAAAGACCATACCTATCGATTGGTGGTAGACTCGTAGCTATTAAAGAATTCTAATTTATGTGGGTGGGGGGAAGGTTTCTTTTAATTTTTAAATTTATATCTCCCGTTTGTCAGAATAGAATCCAAACTATAACAAAATTACAAAAAAGCTATAACCAATCTCTAGATCTTTTTTTTTGCAAATCGAACGGTATATCTAATATCTATCAATGTTGTAAGCCAAAATCCAGCGGACAGTGGATCCTCGAAATATTTTTTGTTTACACACACACACGCCAAGCGTTTTCGAGCTGGCTGCCTCCCGTAGACCCGTACGGCAGGAATAGACAAGGAATCGGTTAGGTGCATCGGTGCACCAAACATAGGTCGTAGGAATGGAAGGGTAATATACATGTACATATATACATTATTTAATGCAGGTTTCATTGAAGACCAGAGAGTATTTCTTATTGACAATTTTCTTATTGTTTTTCTCTATTAGGCGAATTAGGCGCTTGATAGGAACTGAAAAGTCAAATATCAGGTTTCCAAGGGACAAATGTCCCTTGGAATAAAATAAAATGTCCCTTGGAAACCTGATATTTGACTTTTCAGTTCCTATCAAGAGCCTAATTCGCCGAATAGAGAAAAACAATAAGAAAATTGTCAATAAGAAATACTCTCTGGTCTTCAATGAAACCTGCATTAAAGAAAATCTTCTGCCAAACTACACCAATATATACATTATGTATACATATATACATTCCTTCAAATTTTTAAACATTTTCTTACCTTAGGCTTATATTATCTGAATTGATTTTTTGAGTACAAGAATTGCAATGGAATCTCGTTACAGTTTCTCCTCTTTCAGTTTCCATTTGATTGATCTACATTCTAGGCTACAACTTAATTAAAAGCTGGCGCACACTTGGTGCGTCTCTGAAAATAGAAGTTACTGCTAGATATTTTCTACTGATTCAGACACTTGAACAGACTTGTAATATCTCTGTTTAGCATACTGTACATAATTTGCGTACGGCGATCGCAATCAACCATCGTCAGTACTGAGGTTTTTCAAAGGGCAATAGCAAATGAAACAAGAAAAAAAGTGGTTTCATGTTCAATGTCCACAAAAATATTGTTCCTAACAACCAACAAGGTAGCTCAAAAATCTCTACATGGTTACATTTCTGAATCTCGCTATTTCTTCATTTGAACCACAATGCGTTCAATTACGCAATAAATTCAATTAGCAAAGTCAAGCAATGAGCACCAAATGGAAGACATATTTTGTAATAAATCACCAGAACAAGTAAACATGAGTAAGTAACGTAAGTAAGTATGCAATTCAAAGCAAGCAGTGAATAGCAAATGAGGAAGAGATAGATCCTCATTACTGTAGTTAATGAACTTTACTAAAATAGCAGAGACAGATAAAACGAGATGTGCCGTAAAATGTTCTGCACGACTCTTGAGTACATAATACAATAACAATACAATTTGTGCGTTCAAGATGATACATGCAAGCACTGTTAAGTTGTGCTAGACAAGCACAAATTTTTGTTTGAACGTGAATATAAGGCTGGCATCCATATTCCATACGAAAAAAATTATTGAATTGATCTTTGGCTATCGGGTTTCTTGAAAATTGAATGGAATTATCTCTTATTGGAGGTTTTCCATACGTAATACAGTGAAATTTAAATTCATTGACACTACGGATTTCAAAGGTGTACACTTGGCATGAGCACGGTAAGATGGAAGTATAATAAGAAAAAGTAAACTGAATTCTCAGCCACGATTTCCAGCTACTTTGAAAGGTTACATGCTCGCCACAGCAAGTAAACTTAAATAACTTACTCTAACACGATCGCTTCAAATTTCATCTGGCTTTAATGGCAAACAGCGATCGGCATCCACCTACGGAACTTCAGTTTCAACATACTGAAGCACAGAACGTATCCCAGAACAGCTAAGCTGCTAGATGAACAGTTTTTCACATTACCAACCACAGTAAAGCCAGTTAACTCCCATTTGGCGCGCAATAATTATTGTGGAGTTCTTAACGTAAATTTTAAGAGTTTCATCTCTGTATCATGGAATCATGGTGGATGATTAAATAGCTTAAAACTGAGTCGTGATGAAACGACTATTTTAGCTAACAGCGAGGCAAAAACATTTGAAACACGCACCACAAGTGCCGGAAAACAACGGCATTTTTGTTCACTCGTTCGCAACATGATACAAACTGGCTTGGACCTCAAGAAACGCACAAAGAACAAGATTCATTGCTAAACCTTAGTGAAATTTGAGTGAAGTCAGCGAACAAGCGAAATAGTTGTTCAAATAGCAATTTCATAAAGACTTTACACGCGAGATAACCAGCACAATTCGGCCGAAAGGAAAAATAAATAAATGTGAGTATCAGAAGGAGGGAGAAAATAAATAATTAGGACACTTAGTAATTGTCCCAATTAAGGCACGCAGATGACATATCAAATGTCATCTGCGAAATGAAATGAAAAAAATTAAAATGTCTCATTCCAATATACGTCTCTAAAATAGATCGGAATAAAGTTACAGCAACAAGAATTAACAAATTCACGCGCTGAAAGATGAGGTCATATATAACAAGGGCGACGGACAACAAATTGATTCATCCCTCAAAGGTTTTATAGATCCGTTATACAAACTGTGTCAATCAACGATCGATGAAATGCAACCTGCCTCGTACAAACATTCAGTTCTTAAATCAGTCTAAGCTGTAATTGATCATGAAGGAATGTAGTCTCGCGACACAATATCACAGTTAACAGTAGCACTACTGATCGCGTGAGCTGATATCAAAGAATTGGACACACTTTACACCAAATCAAGTATTCGGAAATGGGCAAGGAATGATAATGTAACCAAGTAACCCGAAATAAGTATGAGAAACCTTACAAAGAAAACGTTAAAAAAATTAAGAGTCAGCCTCATGAAGCAATCAAAAATATTGAGAAAAAACACATAAATTCACAGAGCATATGGTAGCGTTGTGAAAAGTATGAATTTTAGTCAAACGGAAAAAAATCACATCATAGATGGAGGAACATAAGTTAATAGGATCTACCAGGAAGCCACAAAACAGGTTAAAATAAATACAACCCCAAGAAGCAACAATATAAGATCCTTTTTTTAGCAAGGATGCTGCGTCATTTGACTAGCTACAAAACAACTAGTAATATTTATTAAGCATCAGAAATGATCAATTAGGCTCCATTCGTAGGTGCGCAAATAACACAAACTGACTTATAATCAAGACCTAACTGCAACCCAATAATACGAGTATCGTGTACAAGAAAATCAAAAGGCATGCAATTTCAACAGACTGAATAAGCAGTCTACGCTGAGCTGCAAGAGTACTGTCAGGTTTCTTTTATATATTCTTCACTCACAAGTGAATAGGTAATAGAAATTCTTACACGAGACATGAAGACAGTTACTTGAATTATTCAACTGATGCCATGCTAATAGAAAACATGCACAGCTACTGAACCTTTGACTACAATTGAACCACAAGGTCTCTTTACCAAAAAGGCTTTCAGACATTCTTATAGCTAAAAGCAGAATAACATAGTAGGCACTCCGTATATAAGGTACCTCGTTAGCGTCCTACATTCCGAAGAGATCACTTAAAGTAATTATTTGACTATTGAATATGAGCATCTCCAGTTATGGCTAATACGTGACAAGATGGCTAAGGAAACTATCATCGATGGACACATTAAGATGTGTCCATCATTAGTTAACTAGAATAATTAAGTAAGCCACTTTGAACAGCATATGTATTAAGAAGCACAGAATATCTTCTGAAAGAAGGCTGATAAATATCAGAAATGTGTTCTCATTTACACCTAGACATATTCAAACCTCATTTATTGAGGTTACTGTGGAGGAGGTTGCGTCGACACAGATTCATTGGAATATATTCTTAGCTAGCAGCCTAAGGCACAAGGCAATTCGGTCTTTTAAAGGCAATGACTGAGCGATGATTTTTTACATGCTACTACTTAAAGGAAAAGAAATCTAGGAAAAAAACTCATTACAATATAAGGGATCTTCAAGAGTCGGCGCAATTGGAACATGATGAAGGGCAACGAAAAGTTTGACACACAAGTTCCATCAAAAGTGCTGTTCCAATGATTTGAAGTTGTGAGCGAATCGTATTCCAATAGTGAATTAAATTTAATCTGCAAAACATGCACTTAGAATAGAAAAGCATGATAATGTCAACAAAAACAGACATATACGGAGAAAAAATATACCAGTGAATTTTTTGGAAATCGTAGAAAGTTAGGTAGTGTTATTCATTACAAAGTAAATCCTACGTATTTTTGAGGTAGTTATTTGAATCATCATTCTTTTTCTGGATCAACAGAACCATTAGGCACCTGAAGCGATCGTTTGTCTTTATCACATGACTCAAAAGAAAGATACAGGGATTCCTCCTGAATTTCAGCTCTTTCCTGCTTTTTGATGGTTAATCCTTCACTATTATTCTTGCTACAACCACTGGCAACGGGAGTTTCCTCATTATGGCAGCGTTTTGCCTCACGGTTAGCAGCAGGGGTGAGGGTAGTGTCATGAGAGGGCCGCGTCTCTTTTGCGGCGTCGGCTTTCAGCGAGATGGTAGATCTCCTGCGCAGAAGATGCTGCCCAAACTGAAACAAATAGTTCAGTATTATAAAAACTATTGAAATTTTTCCTTATAGATGAGGAAAAAACACTGGATGTGTCAATTTGTTAAAATGATGTTTGGCGTAATGTTTTAACCCAGGTAAAGAAATTTTGAAATACGAACAAAATAATTTCATCAATATGATAACCCATTTAAGAATAATTGTTGAGCAAACACCGAAACGGTGGTTTGCTAGATACTTTATCAAGTGCACAAAAATAAGTAGATATTATGAATAATAATAAAAGATAATAGCTCACAGGAGATTGCTGCACTTCTGTACTGAACGAAAGAGCGCGAGGCTTGAGAGTGGAGTTCAAAACAGGAGTATCGTCCTCACCAGCCGCCGCGCAAGACTGAGGCGTCTCAAGAATTGTTTCAATCCGGTCCTTGTTAAGAGATGGCGTCGAAAAAGATGCTAAGTTTGGGGTTGATTGTATTTTTGTCAAGCTAGGAGGGATGACGCGCCTTTTTCGATCTGACTGCAGAAACTTGCGGAAAAGTTCATTGGAGTCTGGAGCTTGGTCTTCAGTGTTGTCTAGGAAGCTAGACTTGGGCGTCGAGAAGATAAGGGTGGAGTCACTTCCTCTCTCACCATTGACAGATGAAAAAAGCTTTTCATTGACGGCTGCTAAAAGCATGTCTGGCGAGTTTTTAATTTCTTTGGCGAGTTTTACAGGGGACCTTTTCTTTAGCTTATCTCTGAATAGCAGCTGCGGCAAGGGTCCCTGGCCGCTCGCAGTGTTATTGTTGATATTGCAAGGTGGCGACTGCCAAGCTTCGCTATCCCATCGACTGCTGAGAAAAATAATAAACGAGAGTTGTAAATATAGAATTGACATTAAAATCCAATCATAATGACGACATTTAATTTCAATGTAAGGCTATAACAGTGATTTCCGCTAACCAAGGCTTACTATTACGATAACAGAAAACATTTCCCTCACCCCTTGACGGCATCCGAGTCACTGTACTCGACGTCAGTGTCATCTTCACTGCCATGGACGCTTTTGAAGCGCTGTCTGAGCGTGGCAGCGAGCGCAGCGCGATACGCATCACCGCTGTTGGTCTCCACTGCGGTCTTCTTGACACTGGGTGAACGACTGCTCAGATAAGTTCAGGAGTACTGAGAAAACTGAGTGCAATTTTTTCAATACCATAGCCACGGTACAAAAAGATATAACCAAACAAGTGAAAAATATTACAATAAGAATTTTATGCGTTAGTTTAGAAGCAAGATCTGAACTTCTGAAATATTATTTCACAAGTTCAGACAAAATATTTCAACACCGATGGTCCAATGAGAGAAATGAAACTAATTTTAAAACAGACATGGGAGTTTTACTAGTGAAAATACGATTCGTTTTCACAATTCTGACTCAACTTGAAAACCAAGACCCATTTGTTTTTTACTGAAGTATAACCGAGATATGGATTTGCCATAGCCAAAGGTTTATTTCGCAATGCAATGCGGCTTTGTACAAGGAATAATGTTGTCATGTTGATGTTAAATTTTATGAAGGAACATATCCTCACCGTTGCACTTTCTTGAGCTTTGCACCGCCACCTTTTATGGCATTAACGACGCTAGACCAAGAGCCTGGCTCATCCTTAGGTGTGGTGCTGACCTCAGTTTTGCTCAGCTGTCCCTGCTTGCTCTTGAGCAGCTCATGCAGGCTACCACCTGCTACACTCTTAACACCTGCAGCAAGAGGAGTTGGGGGCAAGGGTGGTGGTGGGGGTGGAGGAGCAATTGGTGTAGGGGGAGGAGGAGGAGGGGGAGGTACCACCGAGGGACGTCGAGTACCAGTTGGGGAAGACGGGGGAGTGGTAGGAGGCTTGTGTTTCTGCTGCATAATTTGGCTGATGGTTAATTTGAGCTGTTCTAGCTGACTCTCCAAGGACTTGATCTTCTCAAGAGCTGAAGGGTCAGTGAAAGGTAAGGCTGACTCAAGATTGCTTTCTCTCTGCTGTGCTTCATGGAAGCCATGCTCAGTCCTGCGACCATGCCTCCGCTTGATCTGAGACTTGCGGCGATTGATTTTCCCTGCAATTAAAACAAAATTTTAACCAAAAATTTTTAAATGAGTTTTTTTCACAAAAGTTGACTTTCATTTTCAGGAAACCACTTCCAATTTCACTTGTCTATACTACATATTTGAACTGACGACAGATATGGACTCCAGAACGTTTTCTTCTAATAAAATGTGGTAAATTTTGGTACTCTTTCTTTGGTTAATTTATTTGGAAACTGAAGGTATTTTATACTAGATTGAAAACATTGATACCTGAACTCTCACCAACTGCCATGCTGTGAGCACTGGTAATGCTCTGACGGTCTCCCTCTGTGTCATCATCCAGCTGTTCATTGTCCACACAACTCGAGGTGTCACTGTCAAAGTAATGAGCTGTACTGAAGCCAGACTCATTGCTCTCTCTGGACAAGTTTGTCATTCCTTCCGCGCGAAGGAGTTGGTGCCTGAAAAAGGACCATGAATATATTTCATTTGTTCTCATTTGAAAAATAAAGCACACAAATTAAACAGTAAAGTTATTTGCAACCAGTGTTCAATCCTCGAAGTACTTAGATACTTCTATTTCTTTATAATGTTGTGAGCAACAATAGCATGAATAGGAACGTTTGCAGCACTTGGAAATTGATGTATGCATTAATTATTTGTTGAAGGCCTTAACAATGTATTATCAGGAGGGCAGTACCTGCTCTGCTCCAATGCAGCTGGCTTGATTGATAGAGGTTGCCTGTTGCTGGATGGAGCAGTACGCACTGACCGAACACTGCCTTCAAACAGCGAGTCATTGGATGTGCTCAGGCTGTTCAGAGAAACAAACCTGCAAAAAAGTGTAATGTGATATTTTGAGTGCTACCAGGCAGTTGAATGTCATGTCAGAATTGGAAGTAATTAGAGATTAATTGATGAAGTTAACAAGCTGATTCAAGACACGTCATGTTAGAATGCAAAATAATCAGTCCACACAGAATATACAATAGGACTTCACTGGTATACTTTAAATCAGTGGTTCCCAAAGTGGGTGATATCGCCCCCCTAGGGGCGGTGAAAAGATTTTGGGGGGACGGTAAGGAAGAAGAGGGTGGTGGGGGGGCGATAGGGGGGCGGTAGTCCGAAGTCAATGTCAGAAGTTCGAACGTTTGTTTGACAATTTGTACACAACACGTGCAGCACATAACTCCCAGCAATGGTTTTTTTCACCCAGATCTGTTTTTTAAGCTCTTCTGGGTTTACGTCTCAGACAAATTAACGGCCGGACTGGGGGCCGGTCTCACGGCCAATTTCCAAATTCAATGATCAAGGAATATCTCTTAAACTAATAATTTAACTCGATGAAACTTTGTACACGTATTCATTAGGACCTAACGATAATGTTTTACTTGTGAAAATTGTTAGAATTTTGACATTTGTTTTTGCCAAAGTTATACATTTTTGCTGAAATTCACAGTGATCAAGTAATTTCTTACAAACTACTGAACAGCGAACGAAATTTTGAATTTACAGTCCTAACTACCAAATGGTAATGTTTAGCTCATGAAAGTTTTTTTGATTGTGCCTTCATTCGCGAGTCTTTTTTTTCATTTCACCTTCATTCATGATTTAAACAGCAATATGTGCTTAAATTCATAGTAATCAAGAAATTTTTTCCAAAATACTGAACAGATTTGAACGAAACTTAGTATTTAAATACCTAACCTCAGCAACGGTGATGTTTACAATTTTTTTGTTTTGCCTTCGTTTGCAAGTTATAGCTACGGCTATACGTATAAGGCTCTTGGTTAAACCGGCCAGTAGAGAAGCCGGTCGTTCCTCCTATATCTGTATAACTCTTGAATGAAAGCAAAATAGAAAAATTGTCACAAGCTAAACATCACCGTTGAGAGGTTAGGTATTTATATACAAAGTTTCTTTGAAATCTGTTTTGTAATTTAGAAGAAATTTCTTGATCGCCGCTAATTTAAGTGACAAATTACCCGGCGATACGGGCCAAATGTAAGGAAGTGTGAAATCAAGAAGGACGGTGAAATGAAAAAAACTCGCAAACGAAGGTAAAACTGAAAAAAATTATAAGCTAAAAAACTACCGTACGGTAGTTAGGAATGTATATTCAAAATTTCATTCAAATCTGTTCAATAGTTTGGAAGAAATTCTTTGATTACTGCGAATTTTGAACTGTTTCGCAATATACGCGTAACTCACAAATGAAGGTGAAATTAAAAAAAAATTACAAGCTAAACATCACTGTTAGGTTCTGATGAATACGTGTTCAAAGTTTCATAGAGCTGCGTTCATTAGGGTGGGAGATATTACTTGATAATTGAATTTGGAGATTGGTCGTGAGACCGGCCACGAGTCCGGCCGTAAATTCGCCCGCGACATCCTAGGTTTCTAGTGCTGAAACAGTTAAAACAGCTGAGAAATATATTGGTTCACTAAATAGGGTTCTATTTGTGAAATACACATTTGTTTTTAACCTCTATCTTTGGAAATTGCAGCGTACTAAATTTCAAGAAAGAGGCGTATGTCTGGGAGGCACTAGAAATTCGCTAGGGAGCCAAAAGCGGGTGCCAGCCTGAAAGTTTGGGAACCACTGCTTTAAATGAAGATAATCTAGCTTAGAAATTGATAACCAAGAGCTAACTTCAGGACCTAAAAATAAATGGACAAGTAAGATAATATTTCTAAGATGAGTCAGTACCTTAGATATGGACGCTGCACAGGAGCTAGGGGGAGAAGCGATCCCAGAAATCGTACAAATGTAAAGCATCGTCGGCGGCGTCTCTTTTCAAGAGGCTCGTCTTCTGGGGATGTTGAGGCTCCAGAGGAGAAAACTTGCCACTGCCATTAACCAATTGAAATTCAGACTTTGGTAGTCTGCTTTATGAACATGAAATATTAAGAACTCCCATTGAAATAACATTATGTATTCATTCACACCCAAGGGTCAAAAAAATGGGCAAAAAATATTTGCTGAAGCCGTATATTAAAATATTGCTCTAATTCAGGAATCATTGTTCATACTATAAGTCTTTTATGAGGATCCATATTTATGAAAATACAAAAATTATTTTTAAAATATACAGGATGTGAGAAGAATGTTAAACACTATTTTATTTCTTTTTATTTTCTTTTTATTTCATTTGAAATTATGAATATAAATGCCCTCATACCATCCTATAACTTACAATGTAATTAACTTCTTTATAGCAAATTTAATTGGGTATTTTACAGAATACATACCTGCTCATGGAATTGAGTGAAAGTTTGCTCTGATAAACAGAGTCGAACAAGCCACCAAGAGACTTCACTAACATCAGTAATCAAAACTTCTACAGCACCTCGAGCTCCTCTTGTCACAATGCACAAGTAATAAAAGATGCCATCACGAATTACTCGAATAATAGAAGGACCCGTAGAGCCAACTGATCTCTTCTCTGAATCCCGCCTTGAGTTGGATGTTTTAACAGCAACGAATAAATTGTGAACACTTTCATGACTGGTCCCAGAATGATTTTCTGAGAGGTGGCTATCATTTTCAGAACTGGGAAGATCATGATTCTGATCCTTAAAATTATTCTTAGTGTGAACCATGACGAGAGTTTCCTGCAAATCAGTTCTTATTCAACATGTCTTTTTTACACATTTTTATATTTACTAATACTTCTCAACATTGGCACTGAGTATCATGATGAAATGAAATGAACCTGTAGAATATAAAATGCTTCATTGTAAAATCAACATCTTCAGAATTATCAGATAGCTGAAAACATGATAATATAGAATATTTAATTACTAACACATAAGCCAGGCTGCCTTGTCATCAAAATGTGAAGAAAGAATTTGGAAAGAATCTGTTCTGATAACAATCATCAAAATGTCTGAAAGTTGTAGGTAATGTACTCAATCTTTCCATTAAATTGTGACTCCAAGGTGTCATGGCATAACCCTTGAAATGTGAAGAGATTCATTCCTGATCATAGTAGTTCAAACTTCATATCTTATTGGAACCTGGAAACATCAGAAAAAGCCCTGACCATTTGCAGGCAGGATTATCAAATTTTTCAAATAAGACCAACCACAAATACAAATAATAGCAATGCATTGTGGAAATATATACAATTATTATTAGTTATTTATAAACAATTAGCTGACATCCTACACTTCAACATTTCAACTAGTACCTACTGTATATTAATTAGAACTGTGCTAATACACAAATAAAATTTTACCCTCCTTCCTATTCACAAAAATGCATTAATGGAACATTTTCCAATTATCTTTTAGTCAGTTCCAAAGTAAACAACACATTTTTCTTCATAAAAAAATTTGACTATAAGAAAGGCCACTAATTTTTAATTATTTATTGCTGTGCCATTATTTTGGGGGTATTGCTCCAGGTAGGTATAGGAAATTATCTAGGATCTATAGTTAGCATCATTAAATAAGTTTTAGAACATGAAATAAATTGTATCTAATGAGAGTGCTAGCTTTTTCTACTTACAATGTATTTCTTCATCAAACAGCATGATAAGGAATGGGTGGGGTAAATTGGGAGTCCTCTGTCATGGCGCAAAAACGTTATAGTAGCAAAACTAATTGAAATATTGCAAAACTAAAAATAGTGTCATAAACTTCAACATTTTTCCTACCCATTTAGCACATAAAGGAAGTTAAGAAATCATACATTTACTTAGTCTAAAAAATAAAAAATAAAACTATAAAATGATATTTTGGAAAATTACTTTTGCTAAGGTCTGTAGTAAAAAAAATATTCCCTGTATTATAACATTTTACTTGAAAGAAACTTGCAGGCAGGTGTTGCCTTAAAACTTTATTGACAGAATTTGCATAACTCAATCCAAAAAAATGGCAGCCATTTCAGCAAGATTGCTATGGAAATGCTATGCAGCTGCTGATATCATATGAAGCTTGCAGTGGACAAGGTTGTTGTCATTGGCACAAAAACTTTATTTTTTTTGGGGGGGGGGGTTCTAAAATGTTAGGTACTATAGGACAGAAAAAATAGTTTTTGTCAGTGAAAAATGGATATGGTAATATCATCAATAGAGGAAAAACATGTACAAATCCTAGAAAATGTCATTTAGTCTACATCTACCGTAAAATGGGGTTACTTTGACCAGCGGGGTAACTTTGACAACTTTTCGTTTTTTTAACAAAAACCCCCAAAACTCAAAAACGATTCGACGTAGAAAAATTTTGTCAATGGCCATCAAAGGCCTAATACTGAGGCTACGTAACACAATAGAAAGATTTAAAAAGTTTGCATAAGTAATAGGTTAAAAAATTAAAAATGTGACCGATGAAAAAGAGCTATTATTTAAAGCCTGTTTTAAAGTTTTTTATTTTTTAAAGTTTTTTTAAAGCCCCTCCAATTTTTTTATTTTTTGGTAAAATAACTCCAGGTTTCGATGCATTGTAATAGAACTCTTCTAGTTACATATGCAAAAGACAAATTTTAGAAAAGTGTCATTGTTTGCAAATGGGGGGTGCCGCCCCCCAATGGGGTAACTTTGACCACCTAATGGCAGCCGTGACCTGGTAACATTGACTGGCTTGGAAATTAAGTTAAAATTACCATAGGTACCTATATAACATATTTTATGTTTGATACACCTATTAATGTTTTTTTCTTCATGTTTCAGACTCTACAGAGTCTTATATATGGTAATTTTAACTTAATTTCCAAACCGGTTGAGCTGGGGTAACAAAGACCATCACTTTTTTTTAAATTACATCAAAACTATGAGAGGCAGGAGCCAGCAATTTATGGTGAGTAAAGCTAGAGTACAGACCTGTATTTTGCATGTTTCAATTTAAGTTTAACTTATCTAGTAAAAAAATGGCATCATTTTGAACAAAAAAAGTGGTCAAAGTTACCCCAGTTTACGGTACATCATTTACAATTTTACATGTAAGGAAGAGGGCTTTGGAGTACGGTTGGTAATGGACGAGTACACTCTGCAATCTGCATGCTTCGAACATTTCAAAATTTAGTTTTATTTCATGTGCCCTGGACTGCCTTGTTCCCAGGAGTAATTTGGGATGCTTTTCTCTTTGCTTCTGACTCCTTATGAATAGCATATGGAATTTTTTCAGAAGTGTTATACAATAGCCCTCAGCCAGTCAGCCATGCAGAGGCCTTTAAAATGAGCCCAAATTTGTTTATGAAATGTTTCATGGTAAGTAGTTATTAACAAAAAACTTTCAAAATCGTCCCTTATTACCCTGTTTGACAGTATATAAAACACATTGTATGAACTAGGAAGCAAGGTTGTTGCTTGATTTGACATGATCAGCTAGGCTCAAAATGTTGTCACTATTATTAAGGATTTCTTGCTAGTTGCTAGCTGTAGCTTAGCCATCAAATTCAAAATTTCTTGCCAAAAAATAATTAAGAAAAAAAGTATAGATAAGCAAATGCATCTGTGATTCTCTCATCACCCAATCATTGAAAAAGTGGTAAGGAAAAAAAATTTTCATCAATTAAGTCAAAAAATATTTAAAACCATCATAAATCATATACGTACATGTTAATTAACTTAAACTGATTATATTGTTAAGACTATTTAATACAACCATTTCAGACTTTTCACTTCAGACACTTCATTACAACTGCAAATAGTCTGAAATAGAGAGATTGCAGGCTGATTGCCAGTCTGCCAGATGAATCTTCTTGAATTGGCTCCTCTCATTTAGTTACTTTAGCTACGGTACTGCTTAGTTATACTTGAACTAATAATTTTGATTGAATTTACAGGTAAGGTTTTAGGTATAAAACACTTGGCATAAGTGACAATTGAGCGTATTGATATGACTTGCAGTCTTGCACTGCAAGTCATATCAGTATAATAATATTGTTGTGGGAAGCCCATTCAGTGATACTGCAAGGAAGTAGGATTTCCTACTAGGGGTCCTGCAACCCCCCTCTCCTGAGATGCAATGTCATGTCTCATGTGAAATTAAAGTATGAAATTAAATCAAAAGTATGTATCAATTTCAGTGCTGACATCATAGTAAACTGCTCACTATTTGATATGCATCACTAACTTAATCACATTAAAGTTAATGTAACTGATATTTTTTATGGATTAGTGCACTCCTTAGGTTTAACATGTTACCGGTAATCTTTCTTTTATTTTCAGACTGGGTAAAGCAGGCAACTTGAAAATACCATTATACGATGTTATACACCTCCGTGCCTATGTTTTGTGCTTGTTCTTTTCTTCTCTGTTCACTGTATATACCTAGTTCTTTTTGTTGTATTGTTCAATAAATTGTTAAATAAACACAAGGAAAATTCTAATAAAGAGGTGGTTTGGGATGGTTGTAGGGGAGGTGGAGATCATCACCAATTCCTTGTTTTCTTGACACCCTTGCAGCAAACACCCTCAGGCCCAAAACGTGGCTGGTAGCACAATAAATATAGTTCTACAACAATATCAATAGCTGCATAATCTGCATTGCATTGGCCACCACTACCAGAATCCAGTATTCAATAATAATATATATTTAAAAATTACTTTGTAAAGACAACACTTCTGAAAATCCAGTGTCTCCAATGTAAAGCATGTACAATGAATTTCTAATTTTAATTTTGACTCGTAAAAAAATTAATTTTTAAATTATTTTAATACATAAAAGAAATATACTTTCAAATTATTTATTCTGTCAATTGATTCATGCATTGTCTCCTACTTCACGCAAGTCTGCAAATTTCAGATAGATTTGAGTCATTGGAAAGTTAGAAGTGTGTCAAATATCGATTATAAGATTTGTAGCAGACAAAATTAATTTTTTAAATTTTGTTAATATTGAAAAAAATGTTAATTTTTGAAACTATTCATTCTGTCAATTGATTCATGCATTATCTTCAACTTTACGCAAGTGTGCAAAATTACAGATTGATTGCAGAGGTAGAAGTGTGTTAAAAATTGATTAGCTATAAGATTTGTAGCAGACAGACAGACAGACAAACAAACAACAAGAAGTGAAGTTAAGAGAAGTGTTGTAAAAACAATGTAGTTGTAGCAGACATTCAGCCAAGTCCATCATACATGATTCTGCTCCCTTAACCCTTTACCGCCAAATCGGACTTGCAAGTCGCCTTTAAAAAAACACCGGTTTTTTAATCATTTCTTGTTTTCTTTCATTTTTCGAAAAACTCTCTCACAAAAACAAAAAGTTTTAGATTTATTTTTTACATTACATTACACTAAGTTTCAAAGTTACCTGTCCGTAAATAACCGAAATAAAATTTCCAATTTCTTGTGGAAATTTTATTTCGGTTATTTACAGACGGATCACTTTGAAACTTGGTACACATATGTAAAAGATAAATCTAAGACTTTTTTTGTGTGAATTTAAAAAAAAAATGAAAGAAAATGTGAAATTCTTAGAAAACAGCCAAAAAGAGGGTACTGTAGAAATCTATCTCCTAGGATTTTCAAGCTACAACATCAAGAAGGACGAGACGCATATCATTTAATGCGTAAGGACCATATCGATTGGTCCTTGTTGTTTTTCAAAATTCTAGTTTTTGTGGCTGAGGTGGGCATTTTTCAAAAAAATTGTGATTTCCCCCTCACCCTTCCAAATTCCTCCCCCACTTTTTTCAAAATATTTTCAAAACTATAACGAAATTGAAAAAAGCTACAACTAATCTTTAGATCTTTTATTTGCAAATCGAAGGGTATATCTCTCATTGCTCTAGCTTAAAAACTCTAAGAGGAGATAGGTTTGCAGTGACAATAACTCAATAAGTGTGGATGTTCAGTAGAGCGCGGCAAAGTCCCAAGCACCTCAAAATAGGCATTCAAGGTGGCACGGATAGAAGACTAGACGTTACTGGAGCTGAAATTCAGTCAAGGATGGTGGGAACGACTGCATGACCACATGACTCGGCTTGGCATGAGGCTGAGCCCATGAGCACCATCCCACACGACAGCAGCCGAGCCAGGTAACTAAAGATCAGCATCTTCAGATCGTCTATTTATGTGCCCGGCCAGTAATTTTTGGCCATATTAAATGTGAAAGAACTCACCCAGCTCCCACCCTTAACCCTTTTCTGAACTGTTGTAAAGGCATAAATCAATGTACAGAGATGATTTTGGTCCCACTGGATAGCAGGTTAGAATGACAGCTGGTGAGACTAAAAACCGGAAAAGTGAAATTTGCGATTTTTGACCAGGAAATTCAGGCAGTAAAGGGTTAAACAGAATCTGCAGTGGTGTGCATCTTGTTGAACTCTTATTGGTTTGGTGGGAGTGCACTTAGTGCAGCTGTGCACCACCAATTGTCTGTGCACCACCAATTGTGTGCACCAATAAGCCCTGAATCGAATGCCTTGCATCTCTCCGGAGTCCGGACATCCACCAATCAGCCGTGCACCACTCGGTTCTGTCCTCTTCTGGCCTTGACAGCCATCTGCCGACTGCCGTGCACCACCAGGCTCAGGCTGCAGATCGAATCTGACTTCTGGGCATTGTTAAATTACGTAATTTTACGTTCAATGCATCTGAGGTTAGGTTTCAGATAGCATAGTTCTGTTCCAAAATTTATCGTCCTTTGACAAGTGGCCAATCGACCAAGGGCTGGTTTGACCCACGGCCTAGTCTTACGCTTATGGCTTACCTAGTCTACCTAGATATCACACTCAGGATGATGTATGTTTTCAGTGAATTTTCCCGCGCATTTTCACTTTTTTTAAGCTATTGCTGTGCACAGTTGGCGCAATGTAATGAAAATTGATTCTCTTCGCGCACGTGTTTGCGCAATCCCTGCCATCAATTCTACGTCGCGCTGCCGCGCACAAGCAGTTTGTGGAGAAACAGACGTAATACTCACATTACTCAGTACAGTATGCCTTTAATTATCTTTCAATAATATATGATTTTTCTTGATACGGAAATTTGGTGAATGAGAAATTTAGAAATTTATTTTAGAAGAAATTTTCTCCAAAGTCATATGGCAACACTGAACACCATCTGTTTACATTTCGTATGTATAATAGCCGCAGTTTACGATTACCGTACGTTCCGTATCCGACAAGGCGGACAAGTGGAAGAGTCAGAAGTAACCCGGCATGGTGGCAGGGAATTATTGTGAGTACTTATCGGTCCACCGCCATGCGTCGGTCTTAACCCTTAGCAAGGCCCCATGCCCTTGGCCCTTGGGCCCCTCTTGCAAGTTGTAATGGTCTAAACTCAACAGTTCGACCCCATCCCCATGGTCTCATCATAACTCCCTTTAGAAATATGTGGAGTTTCGAAATTGATAGTAATAAATCAATAAATATATATTATTTGAACTGGGAAATTCCTTAGTTACTTACGTTGGTTCCACAATGATATCAATGACGTAAAAAATTACAATGACATTGGTTAAGCCTCACTGCCTCAGCCATGATTCTAGCTTTGCTAAGTCCTTACACTCTTACCTCGTAATTCATGATGTTAGAACTTCAATATTCAAATGTTGAATATCTGTCAAGTGTCAATATCACAATCAAGATTATTTCACAATCAGAAATATGTTATAATATCACAATCGAAAATATTATTCACAAATAACCATCCATTTCAATGCCGAACTGGACTCCCATCTTCACGCTAGCCATATGTTTACATACGTCACAAAC